AAATTGGACAGCCACATGCAGAAGAATGAAACTCGAACATTCTCTAACACCATACACAAAGATAAACCCAAAATGGATGAAAGACCTCAATGTGAGACAGGAATCCGTCAAAATCCTAGAGGAGAACATAGGCAGTAACCTCTTTCAAGCAACAGCAACTTCTTTCAAGATACATCTCCAAAGCTAGTGAAACAAAAGCAAAAATAAACTTTTGGCACTTCATCAAGATAAAAAGCTTCTGCACAGCAAAGGAAACAGTCAACAAAACAAAGAGAAAATCCACCGAATGGGAGAAGATATTTTCAAATGACGCTATAGATAAAAGGCTGGTATCCAAGATCTATAAAGAACTTCTCAAACTCAACACCCAAAAAACAAATAATCAAGTCAAAAAATGGGCAGAAGACATGAACAGACACTTCTCCAAAGAAGACATACAAATGACTAACAGACACATGAAAAAATGTTCATCATCATTAGCCATCAGGGAAATTCAAATCAACCCACATTGAGATACCACCAGTTAGAATGGCAAAAATTGACAAGGCAAGAAACAACAAATGTTGGAGAGGTTGTGGAGAAAGGGAACCCTCTTATACTGTTGGTGGGAATGCAAGTTGGTACAGCCACTTTGGAAAACAGTGTGGAGGTTCCTCAAAAAGTTAAAAATAGAGTTATCCTACAACCCAGCAATTGCACTACTGGGTATTTACCCCCAAAGACACAGATGTAGTGAAAAGAAGGGCCGTGTGCACCCCAATGTTCATAGCAGCAATGTCCGCAATAGCCAAACTGTGGAAAGAGCCGAGTTGCCCTTCAACAGATGAATGGATAAAGAAGATGTGGTCCATATATGCAGTGGAATATTACTCAGCCATCAGAAAGGATGAATACCCAACTTTTACATCAACATAGATGGGACTGGAGGAGATGATTATGCTAAGGGAAATAAGTCAAGCAGAGAAAGTCAATTATCATATGGTTTCATTTACTTGTGGAACATAAGGAATAGCATGGAGGACTTTAGGAGAAGGAAGGGAAAAATGAAGGGGGGGAATCGGAGGGAAAGATGAACCATGAGAGACTATGGACTCTGAGAAACAAACTGAAGGTTTTATTTTTTTTATTGTTTATTTTTTTTTAAGATTTTATTTATTTATTTGAGAGAGAGAATGAGAGACAGAGAGCACGAGAGGGGAGAGGGTCAGAGGGAGAAGCAGACCCCTGCTGAGCAGGGAGCCCGATGTGGGACTCGATCCCGGGACTCCAGGATCATGACCTGAGCCGAAGGCAGTCGCTTAACCAACTGAGCCACCCAGGCGCCCCAAAATGAGGGTTTGAGAGGGGAGGGGGGGTGGGGGGATGGGTTAGCCAGGTGATGGGTATTAAGGAGGGCACGTACTGCATGGAGCACTGGGTGTTATATGCAAACAATGAATCATGGAACACTACATCAAAAACTAATGATGTAATGTATGGTGACTAACATAATAAAATAAAATTTTAAAAAATGCAGTTCTTTAAAAAAACAACAAGAGGGGCATCTAGGTGGCTCAGTCGTTAAGCGTCTGCCTTCAGCTCAGGTCATGATCCCAGGGTCCTGGGATCAAGCCCCGCATCGGGCTCCCTGCTCGTGGGGAAGCCTGCTTCTCCCTCTCCCACTCCCCCTACTTGTGTTCCTGCTCTTGCTGTCTCTCTGTCAAATAAATAAACAAAAAATCTTAAAAAAAAATAAAAAACCAATAAAAATGATAAACTCTAGAAAAGCTGACAAAGAATGAAGAGAGAAAGTACAATCACCATCAAATAATACTGGGGGTATCACTAAGATCCTGAAACCATTAAAGGATGATAAGAAAATGGTGCAAACATCTTTATACCCATAAATTTAACAATTTAGAAGAAATGGACCAACGTCTTAAAAGCTGCAAACTACAGAAACTCAACCAAGGTGAAATAAATAAACTCTAGAAGTCCAATAACCTTAAAGAAATGAAATATGTGATTTTAAAACATCAAAAAAAGAAATATTCAGGCCCATATTCACTAAAGAATTCTATAAACATTTAAAGATGAATTAACACCAATTTTGCACAATCTATCCCAGAAGAGAGAATCAATTCATTTTATAAAGCTAGTATTATCCTGACACCAAACTTGACCAAAACAGTATAAAAAACACAAAGGCCAGTATGTCTCATGAACATAGACACAAAAATCCTCCACAAAATATTAGCAAATGAATCCAGCAAAAAATTATACAGCATGATGGGGTGAGGTTTATTACATATGTGCAGGGCTGGTTCATCATTGAAAAATCAATCACTGTAATCCACAATACCAAACTAAAGAAGAAAAATCATAGGATCATATCAAATGACACTGAAAAAACATATGACAAATTCTAACACCGACTCACAATGAAAAAGGAACTCATAAAAATTAGAAGTAATTTCTTCATCTTGATGAAGATCATTTAAAAATAAAATACAGCTAACATTATACTTAACGATGAAAAACTAAATGCTTTCCCTCTAAGGTCCTGAGCAAGGCAGAGATGCCCACTCTCACCACCGTTATTCACCTTAGCACTGGAAATTATGGCCATTACAACAGGCCAGAAAAAGAAATAAAGGCATAGATAAAAGAAAAGAAGAATAAATGTTCCTCTTTGCAGATGACATAATTGTCTACATAGAGAATCTCAAGCAATCTACAAAACCTCATAGAACTAAGAGGTGAGTTCATCAGGTCATGAGATACAAGATGTACAGGCAAAATTGTCCTCCAGTCCAGTGCAGCCTTCTGATGAGTATAGCCTGGTAAACATCTTGACCACAACTTGTGACTCTCAGAAAGTGTAAGAAAATAAATGGTTATTGTTTTCAGCCACTAAGTTTTGGGGGAATTTGTTATGCTGTGATAGATATCAAATCTCGTTGGACCACAGTTGCCTAGGGCCAATGTTTGCAGCCAATTCAGTCTTTTTTTTTTTTTTAAATGTTTTGTTGTTATGTTAATCACCATACATTACGTCATTAGTTTTTGATGCAGTGTTCCATGATTCATTGCTTGTGCATAACACCCAGTGCTCCATGCCCAATTCAGTCTTTATTCGTTCACTCAATCACTCATTTGTTCATTCAGTAAATAATTATCATAAGCAGACCATTTGTCACATACTGCTGTTGGGCACCAGGTCATTCTGGGATGAATAAAACAGACCCAGATTGCTGCTATGATATGAGCTCTATCCTAGTGGGAGAGTTGGATAGAACCCACCAAAAGAAAACATACTAACAAGGTTTGGTGAACTATGGAGGAAACAAACAGGGTGAAAAGGGGTTGGTGATTGAGACAACAGGGTAACTCCTAGGAAGAGTGATCAGGGAGGCCTTTCTTTTTTTTTTTTTAAGATTTTATTTATTTATTTGACAGAGAGAGACAGCAAGAGAGGGAACAGAAGCAGCAGGAGTGGGAGAGGGAGAAGCAGGCTTCCCACGGAGCAGGGAGCCCGATGCAGGGCTTGATCCCAGCACCCTGGGATCATGACCTGAGCTGAAGGCAGATGCTTAACCGGCTGAGCCACCCAGGTGCCCCCAGGGAGGCCTTTCTAAGGGAGTGGCATCCAAGGTGAAATCTAAAGAGTAAGAAGGAATAAGCAGTGAGAAGAGGTGGACAAAGGATCCAAGGAGAGGGACAAGCAGGTGCTAAGGAGGGCCTAAGGATGGGCACTGGCTGGAGCACGGGGCACATTGAGGTAGGGGAGCAAGATAGAAATGCAGAACCCAAAATTGGCTGGTCCCACTCAGGCCATGTAAGCCAAGCAAGGAGAGTGGGTTTCATCTGAAGAGTAGGGGACAAAGAGTGTACTGGTTACTCCTGACTTTTGTTGAAGTGCTCTCTTGCTGATGAGTGGAACAAAGGGAGGACAAGGCAGGAGGGGACTGGGAAGAACAGGGATGTCACCCTTGCACTAAGAGGAGAGAGAAAGGTTGTAATGTCAGGAGGAAGAGGAGATATGGGCAGATGGACAGTACCAGAGGAAGCATTGGTGGGGAATGACAGAGAGAGGAATCCTGGGGGACAGGGTCTCCTTGCAATAACTCTGGGAATATTGTTCCCTTTGATCTAGATAAGATAGTGTGGAGGAAGAACAGATTGGGGAGAGACTGTTTAGGGGGAAATTGATAGACCTGGTTGTGCATGACAAAGTTGAGGACCTGGCTTAAACCAGGCAAGATGTCAGGCCCTGCACCCCAACCTGCCTCCCTACCATTTCCAGCATAAACTCACCCCAAACCCATCATGGCATGAGAACACGCCACTCTGAGTTAGGACAAACCTTCCCCCCTCCTGGCAAGGACCATCCCCCAACTCTGCACCTTGAAGAGGTCCCTGGTCACCACTGTGAACCCAAAAGGGACACCAGCAGCCAGTGTTTTGGGAGACCACCCTCTTGTTACACAACGGTCCCTCGTGCCACTGGATGGAGAGGAGAAGCCCAGTCTCAGTTTCACATGTCCCCATGGTCCCATCAGCTCCTTCAATCTCTGGATCCTCTTGTCCATTGCCAGTACTCTGCCCTGCGAGTCACAGTAGAGTGGACTTTCCAAAGAAGAAAGACTCAAAAGTGAGGTGCTCACGGGGTTGGTGATGGCTGCTCCATGTCCATGTCTTGAGAACAGGGAAAAACACAGGAGGGAAGCACAGCCTGGGGGATTTGTACCCTGGTTAGGAACCCAGAACCCTAATGGGACCTTTGAAAGCATCTGAGGTCACAGTACCAATTTGTGTGGCCAGAGGAGAGCAGGGGTCCCATGGGGACTGTGGCTGCTTGGAACTGCAGGCTGAGGAGTCTTAACACCCTGCAGTCACGACCGATGCCTGAGAAGTTGGGCTACTGGCACTCCACCCCAGACATGGTCCATCCTGACCACAAGGAAGTGACATGTCACGGGGGTGAGGAAGTCCCACTGAGGAAGAAATGCTCCAGTGTGACTCCATTGTGTGGGGCGAGTGTGGACAGAGAGAGGAGCAGATGTTGTCTGCTTAAGGGGATGGCAATCCCAATCCAGTCCTTGACCAGGAGCTGTCCTGTCACTGGGATTGAGAGGAGCCCGGGGCACCAGGTCCAGGACTCTGCCTCAGTCCGTGGTGCTTCTCTCCCCAAGCTTCCTGCACCCCGCCCAGCTTGAGTCAATGTGGAAGAAGATTGTGAGACCAAACACAGGCTAGACAAGGAAGTGAAGAGGCCTCAAAAAGCAGAAGTGGGCTGTGGAGACTGGACCTTCTGTGAGGAGGCTTGAAATTGTCCCCCCTCTGGAACCTGGCATTGCTGTAGGTGATGTCCCCCCTCAGGGGCCTGGCATTGCTGTGGGTGACGTCTGTGCTGCAGACATGACCCCGAGAGACGGGAGGCCTTGGCTGCCTGTAGCTCTGCTCCTTCTGCAGGTCCCAGGTGAGTGAGGCTGAGCCTGGGCAGGGATGTCTGCCCTGAGTGGGAAGGAGGGAGACAGGGGAGACAGGGGAGGGACACAGGAGTCTTTCTTCTTTGGAAAGTCCACTCTACTGTGACTCGCAGGGCAGAGTACTGACAATGGACAAGTGACATGTCACTTCCTTGTGGTCAGGGTGTGTGTGTGGGAGTGCGGGGCGGCCCATGGGGAGGGAAGCAGGACCTGGGAGGGAGGAGGGAGAGCAGAGAACATTCTAGGATCGGCCAGCACTGCCCCCACAGTGACCAGGAGCATTCAGAGCATGAAGCAGGTGAGTTAAATCCACTACAGTGGACAGAGCAACTCTGAGGAGAGGGGCGCCTGTGACCACCATTACCGTAGGGTCATAGTCAGAAAGGAGATCTTGGTGCATCACACACACACACACACACACACACACACACACACACACATTGAACACCCTCTCCTTGTGCCACTTTGTGGGTAGGGAGCTACCTCCTCCCCCTCTAGTCTCAGGAAAGGTCTGTCTCCTGCCAAGGCCTCCTCCAGGCCCTGAGATCCTTTTGGGGAATGCAGGGCCACCATGACCCCAGATCCCCTTGACCCAGGCTCATGTGGTGAGGGACCACACTCGGTTGTGTTTTCCAGGTTGTTGGTGTCTCAGTGGCCCCACCTCCATGACGGGCACCGTGGGGGGATCCCTGAGCGTGCAGTGTCAGTACGAGGAGAAATTCAGAGAGATTGCCAAATACTGGTGCAAGAGCCCATGTTTGGGGGATATTGTGAAGATTGAAAAGTCAGACAAAGAAGTGAGGAGCGGCCGGGTGTCCATCAGGGACCATCCTGCAAACTTCACCTTCACAGTGACCTTGGAGAACCTCACAGAAGGTGATGCAGGAACATACCGGTGTGGGATCGATACATCATGGCTCCCAGGATATATGATCGACCTCACCTTCCGTGTTGTGGTGTCTGTGACCCCAGGTGAGCTGTGGACCCCCCTCCCCCAGCGCCAGCACCAGGGCTGCCTGAGACTGGGGCTGATCACCCCGACCCCAGCAGGAAAGTGGTGGGGCATGGTACAGAAGGGCGGGGTGGGAATGGTGTTGGTGCCTCGAACACCAGGAATATGCATGTGTGTGTTTGTGTATATGTCTGTTTGTGTCTAGGTGTGTTTGCAGGTGTTTTGTTGTCTGCTCACTCACACAAGATTATGAACACCTCTGGCTGTCTGTCCTAGGAGCCTCTGAGTGCCCCGCCCTGACACACTCTCACGCCTAAAACTCTCCAAAGGTGGGCAGGGGGAATGGCCCTGAGTCTGGGGTTGGCTGCCTTCCTGTCCTGACAAGGGTACTGTCCACGCTGGAGGGGACCCGAGTCTCTTCCTGGACCACTCTCTGTCCTCCCAATGGGGACTTGAACCCCTAGGGCATTCGCTCTTCTCCCTTACTGGCTGCCCATGACCCGGGCTCTAACAGGACATCAGCGTGTCATGGATGGTTCCTGAGGCACCAGCCTCACAGCTGTGATCCTGGGGGTCTGCAGCAGCCTGAACAGGGGCCCAAGAAGGAGCCCCAGACCCTGATGTGGGGCTTCTGTGAACATTTGGGGACCTCCCTCCCGCTCCAGCTTGACCCTCCCCCTCTGGCCCCTTGTCCCCACAGGAGGGAGCTCAGAGAAACCCCTGAGCTCCCCTCAGACAAAGGAGAAGAAGGATGAGAAAAATGATTTCTCAGGTCCTATGCCCCAAATATACTTCCCTCTGCTGCAAAGAATTCATCTTTACTAGAACCCTGTTTTTGTTTCCTAAGAACCACATGGAGGTCATCCATCTAAGTGGGTAGATTTTTATCTTGTGTTCTTATTCTGATGTTGTCCCTGGTTTCCCTAAGGTCTTTCTTGTAGGTCTTCATTTCTCTCACACAGGACATTTCCCTGCCAGGCCCTTTGTGGGATCCTATTTAACAGTGAGGGGCTGAGCATCCTCGGACACCACTGGCTGTGTGAGGGAAAGCCATTTGTCCAGTTGGCTTCAGGACAGGCCACATTCTATGGGGTCCCCCGGATGTGTGTCTGTCTCTCTAGATCTTTCTTTCTGTCTATCCTTCTGTCCTGTGGCCCCCCAGGTTCACAAGTCTGGCTGACAGTTTGGGGCCTGAGTGCATTGAGTGCCAGGGTCCCACCATTCAGTGTAGACTCTGCTGAGTGCCCTGTTTCATGATCCTCACTCCAGACATCAGCCCTGCCTAAGGACCCTGCCTGCCCCACCCCCAGCTCTGGATCAATCTCTACAGAGTAAAGCTCACCCCATCCTCTGCCAGGGTAAACAAGGTGCGGGGTGGCTGAGCCCGGAGCCCTTGCTCTTTCCCACTCCCACGTGCCCCGGTGAGCAGGACGACTCTGCCTCTGAATCGCCCACCTGGCCAGGGTGCACCTGGAGAAGGGGCCAGGGGAGGGCCAGAGTGCCAGTCAGACTGGGTGTGGCTGTGGGGAATGTGGAGCCAGGACATCTGTCCAGATGGCCTGAGTGACCAGGACTAGGTGAGTCGGAGCCACACAACTGACAGAGAGTGGGAGAGCCCGGGGGAGGACAGCAGGCCTGACACAGGCTTCTCCCTCAATCCTCACTGCAGGCCCCAGCTCCGTGAGGCCCACCAGCACCCCAGGTCTTCACAGGACGCTGCCAGTCCCCACGTGGGGCACCGCGACTCTGGAGGAGACCCCCAATCCCAGACAATATCCTGGGTAAGGGGCTAGCAGCTGGGGACCTTTGACACCTGGGTGGTTTCTAGGCAACGTGGAGGGCTGAGGAATGTGGGGGTGTATGTCTTGGCCTAGGTCCTCCACTTATTTACCAACTCCACGCCGAATTGTGGAAGTCCTACCAAGTGCCAGGTGCTCTTCTAGGGATACAGCCCTGGGCCACCTAGACACAAGCCTGCTCTGACAATAGTTGGGAAATTCACACAGTGAAGAAGTCAACACATTCATCAATAGAAGTAAGGCCAGTTCGTGATGAATGCTTGAAGGAAATAGGACACATGGGTCGGGGAGAGCATGTGTGGGAGAGTTTCGGGGTGGTGGAATTGTTATTTAATACACAATGATCAGGGAGGACTGGCCGGTGAGAGGACATTTCCCTGGAGACCTGTAGGATTTGGGGACCCCGCACTCAGGTATCTGCAGAAATTGGGGTGCAGAGACAGGGAAGAGCAAGTGCAAGCGTTTTTGCAAAGGGGGCCTTCAGGACCCAGCCCAGGTCGGCCAGGTGCTCTGGGGGCCCCTGGGCTCTCTCCCTTGCTTTCCCCTCCCACCCCCCCAGGCCCTCGCTAGAGAGTCATCCTGCTGAAGACCAGGCCCCTAAGGGAGCAGAGAGGTGAGTGGGGTCATTCATTCCCTCCATCATGAACCCCTGAATTTCAAGGCCAAGGTTTTGGAGGCACCGCACAGATGCCAGATCCTCCCTGGGACTAAAGCACACATTTCCGATCCCTCATAGGCAACACTGCTCATGGGGAGCAGACATCAGATAAATAACCCCGGCACTGATTTCTGGTCCACAGACAGGGTAACCCCCAATAGGGAGGGCTTAGGTAGAACCCTTTTCCTGGCCCAGGTCCTGCCTGCTCCCTGGGGTCTCCTTCCCGTCACTCCAATAGCCAGGCCCTCTCCATGTCCACATCCTGTCTCAAGGGCAATTGTTAGCCTGAAGGTCACAGGCGTGGTCTGTTGTGTGGGGCTGCCCCGCCCTTGGACCCTCCTGGGACTGATCTCTGTGTGGACTGTTGTAGCCTCAGGACATGGGCACAGGGACAGAAGGATTGTGGAGGGTACCAGGGCGTCTCCCTGAGGATGTGGCTCACTGCCTGTCACCGTGTCCCCCACAGGTCCCTGCTCAGCAGGATCTACTTCCGGCTCCTGGTCTTCCTGGAGGTGCCTCTGCTCCTGAGCATGCTCAGTGCTGTCCTCTGAGTGAACAGGCCTCAGAGGGGCTGTGGGGGCAGGTGACATCAGCCCAGTAAAACCAGTACACCAATGGCTCATTAATGGATAGGATGATGGGGTGCACAGGAAGATGGTGGGCATGATGAAAGCAATCCAGATTCATTGAAAACAAGTACCAAAGAGCCTGTTTAAGTTTGGCTTTCTTCAAAATCAGATCCTGAGGCAAGGACTTCGGTGCAATTAGTTTATGAAAAGGTGATCCCAGGAAGTATAGTGAGGGAACAGGGAGGTGGGGAAAGCCAACGAAGTGTACTTTGATGGAGGAGCCATCCCAGTAGCAGCTGGGCTCCATCCCACTGGACAGCCTCAGAGATACGGTGTAGGACTCACCTCAGAGCAGTCCCACCTAGCAGGGAGGAAGCTGGGGCAGTGATCCACACACATCTGTCCTCAAGGTGGGGGAAGATGGCGGGGCTTCCTGTTTTCTCACAGAGTGGTGAGCCAAGGCTCCTTATGTGGAGAAGGAGTATTGTAGGCAGAGGGTCCGTCCTGGGGACATGGATTCTGTGCCACTTCTGGCCTGTTCTGCTCAGAAAACCACACACCCTCCTATAGGTAAAGAGAGTCCTCAGGCAAAGAGGTGGGAGAGCTGAAGATGGAAAACCACTGGCCAGTCCAAGGCTGTGGACTTGTGGATAGTCTCTCTGGTTGCCCCAGAGCTCCAGCAGGCAAAGAGGATATGAGCCAGGGTGCCAACAGGGTGTGCAAGAGGAGCCCAGTGCGACTTTGGAGAGGACATCGGGCAAACCCACAGGCTGCGAGCCAGGCGAGGGGCTGGCGAGGTGGAGAGCTTCAACAAAGGCCCAGTGTGGGGCGGGGACACAGCATTTGTGAGGATCCGGCGTGGGGACAGTTACCGGGACCCGGAAGGGGAGGGGATTGGCCGTGAGCTGAGCTTGGGGGGACACTCATGGAGGTTGATGTTGTTGAGCAGCTTAAGCAGAAGAGCAGCTCCAACGATCATACTGAATGTGAGTCAAGACTAATTTGGGAGAGGAGTGCTTATAAGGGAGCATTTCATTCTTCAGTTGGTGCCAGCAGGAGCTGAGTTCCTGTGAGAGTTGAGGGCTGTGGGTTCAGAAAGCTGTTTCTGGAGCCTGGGCCTCCTGGGTCCCCTCTTCTCCCTTTCCCTCCATTCCTCACCACCACATCCTCACCTGTCTGCTGCGTCCGGATGCTCAAGGTCGAGGCTTGAGCTGAAGGACAAGAGGCTGGGGCCCTCAGCGTGGGGCCGTCCGGCCCTGGTACCAATCAGCTTTGACGCTGATATTGACTTTCGAGGCCACGGGACCTGAGCACAAAAGCAGGTGGGAGAGAGGCAGAGCCTGGGCCTCGTGTCCAGCAGGAAACACCTGCCAGTCACCGTGTCACTCCTACAGGTCCCTGCTCGGCAGCGTCCACTTCCTGCTCCTCATTCTCCTGAAGGTGCCCCTGTTTCTGATTATGCTCAGTGCCGTCCTCTGGGTCAACAGGCCTCAGTGGGCAGTTTGTGGGACACAGAGTCGGCCTGATGAAGACAACTTGCGGCCCTCCTTGAGCATCGATATCCTGTCCAGAGACACCGCCACTCAGACTAGAGGAGGAAGAACTTCTGGCCCCAAACCTACCTCTTCCCACCTATTGCCAAAAACGGGTAAAAATAAATAAATAAATAAATAAATAAATAAATAAATAAATAAATAAATAAATAAATACTTGAAAAAAGCAATGAAATACATGACACACACAAGTAGATGTGCGTGGTGGTTTGCTGGGGAGAATGGGGGAAGCACTCCCTAAGACTCTGAACTTGGCAGTAGAGAGCGCCAAGTTGGCCAGGGGAGCCCAGGGTGAGGGAGGGCCTGCTTTTTGGTGACCTTGCCCTCCTGAGAACCCCCAGTGCAACCCCTCAACTCAACAATCCTTCCTTTCTCCATCTACTCGCCAAATATTCACCAAGAGCCTATGTAGCGTCAGGCTTGTTTCTAGGTGCTGGGGATAAAGCAGTCAACAAAAGACGGGCTTTCCATTCTAATGGGTGGTTTCCAAAACGAAAGAAAGAAAGAATATCAGTTTATAAGAAGTGTCATGAAGAAGAATGGGTGAGAGTTCAGAGGATCGGGTGACAGAGGACAGGGATAGCCTCTTTTTTTAATTTTTATTATGTTCAGTTAGCCACTGTATAGGACATCATTAGTTTTGATGTAGTGTTCAGTGATTCATTGGTTGTGTATAACACCCAGTGCTCATCAGCACACCTGCCCTCCTTATTACCCATCACCCAGCTAATCCATCCCCCCACCCCCCTCCCCTCTGAAACCCTCAGTTTGTTTCCCGGAGTCCATAGTCTCTCATGGTTTGTCTCCTCTTGGGTGAGAGCCTCAGGCAGGTGAGGGGTGGAAGGTGGAAGGTGTGAGCAAAGGCAAAGCTCAGGGCAGGGGAGTGCCCTGAGAGGCCAGTGGGGCAGGAATCCGGGGGGTCAGGTAGATGTGGATAGGCAAGGCAAGCAAATGGAATTCAGCAAAGAATTACACACCATGATGGAGTGAGGCTTATTCCAGGTGGGTGAGTTTGGTTCGACTTTGAAAAATGAAGCACTGTAATCCACCATACCAAACTAAGGAAGAAAAATCATAGGATCATCTCAAATGACACTGAAAAAGCATATGACAAACTCTAATACCCACTCATGATAAAAAAGAAACTCATAAAAACAAGGATACAGGGAATTGCCTCAACTTGATGAAGATCACCTAAAAGAAAAATACACTGTCATCACACTGAACAATGAAAAACTAAACGCTTTCCCTCTAAGATCATGAGCAAGGCAGAGATGCCCACTCTCACCGTGTGTTCATCTTAGCCCTGGAAATTCTGGCTATTGCAGTAGGTCAGATAAAGAAATAAAGGCATGGAGAATGGAAAAGAAGAATAAAGCTGTCCCTGTTTGCAGATGACATAATTGTCTATGTAGAAAACCTCAAACCATCTGCAAAACCTCATAGAACTAAGAGGTGAGTTCATCAGGTCATGGGATACAAGATTAACACACACAAGTCAATCACATTTCCATATACTAACAAGTGAACATATGCAAGCCAACATTTAAAATGCATTCCGTTTACACTTTCTCCAAAGCAAATGAAATGTTTGGGTATAAACTTAACAAAATATGCCCTGGGTATGGAAGCCAAAAATGACAAAATGCTGATGACAGAAATCAAAGAAAATTTAAATAAATAGATGTCAATTCTCCCTAAACCTGAGCTCTAATCTCTCTGACTGAAAACCAAATATCTTTTTTCCATGGGGCTCCAGAATTTCCTTGAGCTCCGGCCCTCTGTCAGCAGGGAGCTGGAGGGATCATGACAGGCCTGATCCTCAAGTACAAAAGGCATTTCTTTTTTTAAAATTTTTAATTTAAATTTGATTAATTAACATATAATGTATTATTAGTTTCAGATTTAGGAGTTAGTGAGTCATCTGTCTTACCCAATACCCAGTGCTCATTACATCACGTGCCCTCCTTAATGTCCATCACCGAGTAACCCCATCCCCCCGCCCCACTCCCCTCCAGAAAACCTCAGTTTGTTTCCTATGGTGAAGAGTCTCTTATGGTTTGTACAAAAGGCATTTCTGGTTCCCAACCTCCTGATGAGAAGGAAGGTCTCAACCAGAGCATACCTGTGGCACTTCTTTAAGCCACCAAAAGATGACGAGAGTGGCCATTTGCAGAACTTCTGGGCGGACCCTCTTTAAGGACTTAAAAATAATTGCACTCTAACAGGATTGCTTCTCAGCTGCTGAGTCCCCCTGGACGATTCAAATACTCTGATCCTGGCCACCCAGGGGTTAGAACTAGACCCACTGAATGAATCCTGATGACCTTCCCTCCTCAGGCTGAGTCCTACAGCCTGCTCCACTCCCCAAGTCCCATCCTGCTCATCAGCCTGAGCTGTTGGCTTAGGAATCACTGGGTCTCCCTTGGGGCCATCTAGAGGTGGGACCAGACATTCACAGGTCCAGAATTCAAGGTGAAACCAGGGGCCTGGAGCCCAAACTACCATTCTAGTACAGACTAGAATAAGTCAGGGCCCTAACCACCTGTGCCCGAAAGAGGGGATACAACCAGGCAGAAAGACAGGACACATCTGACTCTAGTCCAGGGCTTCAGCTTTATTGAGAAGCAGCAACCACATGGCTCTTCTGGATTTCTTACCTGCTGGAAGTGGTAGAGAGACCCAGTGCCCCCTACTGAACATGGTCAGCTGGCTGGCAACTTGGTGTGGTGACAACTGACAATGCTTCCTCTTATTGCTCATGAGTGAGGGAAGCAGCTCTTTCAAGACTAACTATGATCAGGGCCAGCAAGGTCTAAGGAAAGGTGGCTGAGGGGATGAGAAACAAGGAGACAGAGTTGCCAGGACCAAGAGAGATGGGTAGAAATGGGCAGGAGGTTGGGGTGGGAGGGTCAACTTTGCAGTGAGGAGAGAGGTCTGTCTTGTGGCTCTGGCCTGGCATCCCATGACAAACTTCAAAAGTAGTCTTTATATTATCTCTAAATTGAATTCTCTATACAATCACAGGGCTGCACTGATTTAAATGTTCATCCTACTATTTATATATGTGTGTTTTATTCCTACCAAAACACAAGTAAATTAATATTTTAATTCAGGAATCATTTTTATAGCCCAATTAATTATGCCTTATGACCATTTGCATGTAAAAAGTTGACTCACGAAGTTTACACATTTGAAATATACCATAATTTTTTTTTTGTCCCTGTAGTGCTCATAGTCTTCATCTCAGCACTTCCAAGAGCTCTGGGTACACAGCCCAAGGGCCTCTCCCAGTTTCCTAGAGATAAGCTTGTGCCTGTGGGGACACCATCAGGGATTGGGGCACCTGAAGCTCCAGGTGCAGGCAGGCAATGGGACTCAGCATCCTCCAGGCTGGTGTGGGGGCCAAGTCAACAGTTACCTCTTCCCACACTAAAATATCCCAGAAATTTTGTAACCCTACTTTGGCATCTCTCTTTTCTTCAGATGCTGAGAGATGCACAAAACTGAAGTGTCCCAGGCCTCTCTGAACCTCAGAAACACCCTAAAGGCAAAGAAGAATAAGCAGATACTTCTGATTCCAGCCCAAGGAAAGGCAATAGCATTTGCCTTTAACTTGGTCTTTGTTTCATTCATTTCCCTTTAAAAGACAGACCTAATACACTGTGTGGATGATCCCCAGGCTCTTCCATGCTCAGCATGCTGACATCCTAGGCTTTTACTCCAAGTTTCTCTGTAGCAGGCCTTAAAACACCTACATTCCATCAACTCTGGGAGATATCATGTAAGGTCACCCTGCAGGTGAGAGGAAGTGGTGAGATTTTGCATCTTCCTGTTGAGTCCTCACATGGATCTTCCTGAATTAGGTCCTCATGTGCAGGCTTGAGGGTTGAAGAAGTAAACTGCCACAGGGTCAAATATACACCTGTATTGGTCAAGGTTCCCTGGAGACACAGAACCAATAGGAAAAATATGTATATGAAGAGTTTATTATAAGGAATATGCTCCCACGGTGATGGGAGCTGAGGAGTACCCAAGAAAGTTGGTGGTGGAATTCATTCCAAGTTCAAGGGTCTGAGATCCAGGAGTGCAGAGGGTGGGAAAAGATGGATGTCCCAGCTGAAGCCATCAGGCAGCAAGGGGCCAATTCCTCCTTCCTCTGCTGGTCATCCATTTCTACTCAGACCCTCAACTGATTGGGTGACGCCCACCCACCTGAGGGAGAGCAACCTACTTCACCGAGTCCATGGATTCAGATGCTCATCTCATCCAGAAACATCATCCCAGACACACCCAGAGATAATCTCTCATATGAACAGCCCATGGCCAGTCAACCCATAACATTAACTTTCAGGGCTCGGACTCAAACCTAAAGTCAAGTTGCTGTTGTTAACTGCCCTGTTCACCTGGTGGATCTTTCAACTTCTCAGCTCAGCCAGGAGCTGCAGAAACTGAAGAGTTTTCAGAAGAGGGGAAGTGAGAGAGAGAAGGGAGAGATGGTGGTGGGCTGAGAAGACTGAGGGAACAGTGAGTCCCTGTCAGGTTTCTCAATTTGGGTTACAATGCCACCAGCTGCCTCTCATTCTGCTTCCTGGGTCTGAAGAAGGTGCTTCTCCCTCTTGCTGGCTCTGGGCCACTCTGCCTGCCACTGTCATGGTCTGAGTGAAAGGCACTTGAGCAGTGATGCCAGAGGAATCTGGGTTCAAATCCTGTCATCATCACTTATAATATGCTTCTGGTCAGTTTGTTGACTGAGCTGTTGGCAAGGTAGCTCGGGGGATGGGGAGATTACGTAAACTCTTTGCTATGTGAGAGAAGACCAATAAACAGCAAACTCCCCCACAAAAATTAAGCAAAGTTTCAGAGGTATACTATCACGTATTGGTTTTTGCTTTTTAAATTCTTTTATTGGAGTGGAACATGAGAATAGGAAACTGCACATATCCTAAATACACAGCTTACTGACATTGTAGAAAGTGATATCTTTCATGGCCACCACTCAGATCAGATATCCACATCCTTGGGAGGGGTCCTCTACATTGTATCAGGGTGTGTGTGTGGTCCACAAATATGGAAGAAGCAATGGTATACGACTTCCAAGAAGAAATCATAAATATGTTACGCCTTGCTCTTTCTAGGATCACACACTCTGGGAGAAACTCGTTGCCATATCATGAAGACACTAAAGTAGTTCTACTGGGCGAGGAGCTAAGGACTCCTGCTAACAACCATGTGAGCGTGTCATCTCTGAAGCAGATCCTCCAGGCCAGCCCAGCCTTCCAATGAGTATAGCTTGGTCAATATCTTGACCACAGCTTTGTGAAAGAGATATCCTGAGCCACAACCACCCAGATAAGCCACTCGCAGATTTGTAAGTCTCAGGAAGTGTGAGATAACTAATGTTGTGTTCTGCTACTGGGTTTTGCAGAATTTGAAATGCCGCGATAGATATCAAATCTACTTGGACCACACTTGCTTAGGGCCAATGTCTGCAGCCAATTCAGTCTTTATTCATTCACTCAATCACTCATTTGTTCATTCAGTAAATATTTATCATAAGCCAACCATTTGTCCCATACTGCAGTTGGCCACCGGGTCATTTGGTGATGAAAAACAGATCCAGATTGCTGCTATGACATGAGCTCTATCCTAGTGCGGAGATGCATAGAAACCACCAAAAGAAAAATACTAACAAGGTTTGGTGAACTACGGAGGAAACAAATGGGGGTTGGTAACTGAGACAACAGGGTGACCCCTAGAAAGGGTGATCAGGGATGACTTTCTGAGGGAATGGCATCCAAGGTGAAACATAAAGGATAAGAAGAAATAAGCAGTGAGAAGAGGTGGACAAAGATCCAAGGGGAGGGACAAGCAGGTGCTAAGGCCCTGGGGAAGGATGGGCGCTGTGGCTGGAGCACGGGGCACTTTGAGGTGGGGGAGCAAGATAGAAATGCAGAACCCATAATTGGCTGGTCCCACTCAGGCCATGTAAGCCAAGCAAGGAGAGTGGGTTTCATCTGAAGAGCAGGGGACAAAAGGGTGTATTGGCTACTCCTGATTTGTTGAAGTGCTCTCTTGCTGATGAGTGGAACAGAGGGAGGACAAGGCAGGAGGGAATTGGGAAGAACAGGGATGCCACCCTTGCACTGAGAGGAGAGAGGATGGTTGTAATGTCAGGAGGAAGAGGAGATATGGGCAGATGGACAGTACCAGAGGAAACATTGGTGGGGAATGACAGAGAGAGGAATCCTGGGTGATAGGGTCTCCTTGCAATAACTCTGGGAATATTGTTCCCTTTGATCTAGATAAGATAGTGTGGAGGAAGAACAGATCTGGGGAGAGACTGTTTAGGGGGAAATTGATAGACCTGGTTGTGCATGACAAAGTTGAGGACCTGGCTTAAACCAGGCAAGATGTCAGGCCTTGCACCTCAACCTGCCTCTCTACCATTTCCAGCATAAACTCACCCCAAACCCATCATGTCATGAGAACATGCCACTCTGAGTTAGGACAAACCTCCCCCCGTCCTGTCAAGGACCATCCCCCAACTCTGCACCTTGAAGAGGTCCCTGGTCACCACTGTGAACCCAAAAGGGACACCAGCAGCCAGTGTTTTGGCAGACCACCCTCTTGTTACACAACGGTCCCTCGTGCCACTGGATGGAGAGGAGAAGCCCAGTCTCAGCTTCACATGTCCCCATGGTCCCATCAGCTTCCTCAATCTCTGGACCCTCTTGTCCATTGCCAGTACTCTGCCCTCTGAGTCACAGTAGAGTGGACTTTCCAAAGAAGAAAGACTCAAAAGTGAGGTGCTCACGGGGTTGGTGATGGCTGCTCCATGTCCATGTCTTGAGAACAGGGAAAAACACAGGAGGGAAGCACAGCCTGGGGGATTTGTACCCTGGTTAGGAACCCAGAACCCTAATGGGACCTTTGAGAGCATCTGAGGTCACAGTGCCAACCTGTGTGGCCAGAGGAGAGCAGGGGTCCCATGGGGACTGTGGGTGCTTGGAACCGCAGGTTGAGGAGTCTTAACACCCTGCAGTCAGCACCGATGCCTGAGAAGATGGGCTACTGGCGCTCCACCCCGGACATGGTACATCCTGACCACAAGGAAGTCACATGTCATGGGGGTGAGGGAGTCCCACTGAGGAGGAAATGCTCCAGTGTGACTCCATTGTGTGGGGCGAGTGTGGACAGAGAGAGGAGCAGATGTTGTCTGCTTAAGGGGATGGCAATCCCAATCCAGTCCTTGACCAGGAGCTGTCCTGTCATTGGGATTGAGAGGAGCCCTGGGCATCAGGTCCAGGACTCTGCCTCAGTCCATGGTGCTTCTCTCCCCGAGCTTCCCGCACCCCAACCAGCTTGAGTCGATGTGGAAGAAGAGTGTGAGACCAACACAGGCTGGATGGGGAAGCGAAGAGGCCTCAAAAAGCAGAAGTGGGTCGTGGAGACTGGACCTTCTGTGAGGAGGCTTGAAATTGTCCCCCCTCAGGGGCCTGGCATTGCTGTGGGTGACGTCTGTGCTGCAGACATGACCCCGAGAGACGGGAGGCCTTGGCTGCCTGTAGCTCTGCTCCTTCTGCAGGTCCCAGGTGAGCGGGGCTGAGCCTGGGCAGGGATGTCTGCCCTGAGTGGGAAGGAGGGAGACAGGGGAGACAGGGGAGGGACACAGGAGTCTTTCTTCTTTGGAAAGTCCACTCTACTGTGACTCGCAGGGCAGAGTACTGACAATGGACAAGTGACATGTCACTTCCTTGTGGTCAGGGTGTGTGTGGGGGGGGTGCGGGGCGGCCCATGGGGAGGGAAGCAGGACCTGGGAGGGAGGAGGGAGAGCAGAGAACATTCTAGGATCGGCCAGCACTGCCCCCGCAGTGACCAGGAGCATTCAGAGCATGAAGCAGGTGAGTTAAATCCACTACAGTGGACAGAGCAACTCTGAGGAGAGGGGCGCCTGTGACCACCATTACCGTAGGGTCACAGTCAGAAAGGAAATCTTGCTGCATCACACACACACACACACATACACACACACACACATTGAACACCCTCTCCTTGTGCCACTTTGTGGGTAGGGAGCTACCTCCTCCCCCTCTAGTCTCAGGAAAGGTCTGTCTCCTGCCAAGGCCTCCTCCAGTCCCTGAGATCCTTTTGGGGAATCCAGGGCCACCATGACCCCAGATCCCCTTGACCCAGGCCCATCTGGTAAGGGACCACACTCGGCTGTGTTTTCCAGGTTGTTGGTGTCTGAGTGGCCCCACCTCCGTGACGGGCACCGTGGGGGGATCCCTGAGCGTGCAGTGTCAGTACGAGGAGAAATTCAGAGAGGTTGCCAAATACTGGTGCAAGAGACCATGTTTGTGGAGTACTATAAAGACCAAAGAGGCAGACAGAGAAGTGAGGAGCGGCCGTGTGTCCATCAGGGACCATCCCGCCAACCTCACCTTTACAGTGACCTTGGAGAGCCTCACAGAGGATGATGCAGGAACATACTGGTGTGGGATCGATATATCAGGACAGCCAGGAACTGTGTTCGACCACACCTTCCGTGTTGTGGTGTCTGTGACCCCAGGTGAGCTGTGGACCCCCCTCCCCCAGCGCCAGCACCAGGCCTGCCTGAGACTGGGGCTGATCACCCAGACCCCGGCAATAAAGTGGTGGGTCATGGGATAGAAGAGTGGAGTGAATATGGGGTGGGTGACACTGGGGATGTCCCTGAATGTGTCCGTGTATGTATGTGTCCATGTGTGTGTGTGTGCATGTGTTGTGTGTGTCCATATGTCCATGTGTGTCTAGGTGTGTGTGCATTTGTGTGTGCAGGGGTTGTGTTGTCTGCACACTCACACAAGCCCATGCACACCTCTGGCTGACCTAGGCGCTTCCATGTGCCCCGCCCTGACACACTCTCACGCTTAAAGCTCTCCCAGGGTGGGCACTGGGGATGGCCCTGAGTCTGGGGTCAGCTGCCTTCCTGTCCTGACAAGGGTCCTGTCCATGCTGGAGGGGACCCGAATCTCTTCCTGGACTGCTCTCCCCAAATATACTTCCTTGTGCTGCTAATAATTCTTATCTACTAGAACCCTGTTTCTGTTTCCTAAAAACCAGATGGAGATCATCCATCTAAGTGGGTAGATTTTTATCTTGTGTTCTTATTCTGATGTTGTCCCTGGTTCCTCTGAGGTCCTTCTCGTAGTTAATCGTTTCTCTCACACAGGACATTTCCCTCCCAGGCCCTCTGTGGGATCCTATTTAACAGTGAGGGGCTGAGCATCCTCGGACACCACTGGCTGTGTGAGGGAAAGCCATTTGTCCAGTTGGCTTCAGGACAGACCACTTTCTATGGGGTCCCCCGGATGTGTGTCTGTCTCTCTAGATCTTTCTTTCTGTCTATCCTTCTGTCCTGTGGCCCCCCAGGTTCACAGGTCTGGCTGACAGTTTGGGGCTTGAGTGCATTGAGTGCCAGGGTCCCACCATTCAGTGTAGACTCTGCTGAGTGCCCTGTTTCATGATCCTCGCTCCAGACATCAGCCCTGCCTAAGGACCCTGCCTGCCCCACCCCCAGCTCTGGATCAATCTCTACAGAGTAAAGCTCACCCCATCCTCTGCCAGGGTAAACAAGGTGCGGGGTGGCTGAGCCCGGAGCCCTTGCTCTTTCCCACTCCCACGTGCCCCGGTGAGCAGGACGACTGTGCCTCTGAAATCGCCCACCTGGCCAGGGTGCACCTGGAGAAGGGGCCAGGGGAGGGCCAGAGTGCCAGTCAGACTGGGTGTGGCTGTGGGGGGATGTGGAGCCAGGACATCTGTCCAGATGGCCTGAGTGACCAGGACTAGGTGAGTCGGAGCCACACAGCTGACAGAGAGTGGGAGAGCTCGGGGGAGGACAGCAGGCCTGACACAGGCTTCTCCCTCAATCCTCACTGCAGGCCCCAGCTCCGTGAGGCCCACCAGCATCCCAGGTCTTCACAGGACCCAGCCAGTCCCCACGTGGGACACCGCGACTCTGCAGGAGACCCCCAATTCCAGCCAACATCCTGGGTAAGGGACTAGCAGCTGGAGACCTTTGACACCTGGGTGGTTTCTAGGCAACGCGGAGGGCTGAGGAATGTGGGGGTGTGTGTCTTGGCCTAGGTCCTGCACTTATTTACCAACTCCACGCCGAATTGTGGAAGTCCTACCAAGTGCCAGGTGCTCTTCTAGGGATACAGCCCTGGGCCACCTAGACACAAGCCTGCTCTGACAATAGTTGGGAAATTCACACAGTGAAGAAGTCAACACATTCATCAATAGAAGTAATGCCATTTCGTGATGAATGCTTGAAGGAAATAGGACACATGGGTTGGGGAGAGCATGTGTGGGAGAGTTTCGGGGTGGTGGAATTGTTATTTAATACACAATGATCAGGGAGGACTGGCCGGTGAGAGGACATTTCCCTGGAGACCTGTAGGATTTGGGGACCCCGCACTCAGGTATCTGCAGAAATTGGGGTGCAGAGACAGGGAAGAGCAAGTGCAAACGTTTTTGCAAAGGGGGCCTTCAGGACTCAGCCCAGGTCGGCCAGGTGCTCTGGGGGCCCCTGGGCTCTCTCCCCTGCTTCCCCCTCCCACCCCCCCAGGCCCTCGCTAGAGAGTCATCCTGCTGAAGACCAGGCCTCTAAGGGAGCAGAGAGGTGAGTGGGGTCATTCATTCCCTCCATCATGAACCCCTGAATTTCAAGGCCAAGGTTTTGGAGGCACCGCATAGATGCCAGATCCTCCATGGGACTAAAGCACACATTTCCGATCCCTCATGGGCAACACTGCTCATGGGGAGCAGACATCAGATAAATAACCCCGGCACTGATTTCTGGTCCACAGACAGGGTAACCCCCAATGGGGAGGGCTTAGGTAGAACCCTTTTCCTGGCCCAGGTCCTGCCTGCTCCCTAGGTTCTCCCTTCTGTACTCCAATAGCCAGGCCCTCTCCATGTCCACATCCTGTCTCAAGGGCAATTGTTAGCCTGAGGGTCACAGACGTGGTCTGTTGTGTGGGGCTGCCCCGCCCTTGGACCCTCCTGGGACTGATCTCTGTGTGGACTGTTGTAGCCTCAGGACATGGGCACAGGGACAGAAGGATTGTGGAGGGTACCAGGGCGTCTCCCTGAGGATGTGGCTCACTGCCTGTCACCGTGTCCTCCACAGGTCCCTGCTCAGCAGGATCTACTTCCGGCTCCTGGTCTTCCTGGAGGTGCCTCTGCTCCTGAGCATGCTCAGTGCTGTCCTCTGAGTGAACAGGCCTCAGAGGGGCTGTGGGGGCAGGTGACATCAGCCCAGTAAAACCAGTACACCAATGGCTCATTAATGGATAGGATGATGGGGTGCACAGGAAGATGGTGGGCATGATGAAAGCAATCCAGATTCATTGAAAACAAGTACCAAAGAGCCTGTTTAAGTTTGGCTTTCTTCAAAATCAGATCCTGAGGCAAGGACTTCGGTGCAATTAGTTTATGAAAAGGTGATCCCAGGAAGTATAGTGAGGGAACAGGGAGGTGGGGAAAGCCAACCAAGTGTACTTTGATGGAGAAGCCATCCCAGTAGCAGCTGGGCTCCATCCCACTGGACAGCCTCAGAGATACGGTGTAGGACTCGCCTCAGAGCAGTCCCACCTAGCAGGGAGGAAGCTGGGGCAGTGATCCACACACATCTGTCCTCAAGGTGGGGGAAGATGGCGGGGCTTCCTGTTTTCTCACAGAGTGGTGAGCGAAGGCTCCTTATGTGGAGAAGGAGTATTGTAGGCAGAGGGTCCGTCCTGGGGACATGGATTCTGTGCCACTTCTGGCCTGTTCTGCTCAGAAAACCACACACCCTCCTATAGGTAAAGAGAGTCCTCAGGCAAAGAGGTGGGAGAGCTGAAGATGGAAAACCACTGGCCAGTCCAAGGCTGTGGACTTGTGGATAGTCTCTCTGGTTGCCCCAGAGCTCCAGCAGGCAAAGAGGATATGAGCCAGGGTGCCAACAGGGTGTGCAAGAGGAGCCCAGTGCGACTTTGGAGAGGACATCGGGCAAACCCACAGGCTGCGAGCCAGGCGAGGGGCTGGCGAGGTGGAGAGCTTCAACAAAGGCCCAGTGTGGGGCGGGGACACAGCATTTGTGAGGATCCGGCGTGGGGACAGTTACCGGGACCCGGAAGGGGAGGGGATTGGCCGTGAGCTGAGCTTGGGGGGACACTCATGGAGGTTGATGTTGTTGAGCAGCTTAAGCAGAAGAGCAGCTCCAACGATCATACTGAATGTGAGTCAAGACTAATTTGGAAGAGGAGTGCTTATAAGGGAGCATTTCATTCTTCAGTTGGTGCCAGCAGGAGCTGAGTTCCTGTGAGAGTTGAGGGCTGTGGGTTCAGAAAGCTGTTTCTGGAGCCTGGGCCTCCTGGGTCCCCTCTTCTCCCTTTCCCTCCATTCCTCACCACCACATCCTCACCTGTCTGCTGCGTCCGGATGCTCAAGGTCGAGGCTTGAGCTGAAGGACAAGAGGCTGGGGCCCTCAGCGTGGGGCCGTCCGGCCCTGGTACCAATCAGCTTTGACGCTGATATTGACTTTCGAGGCCACGGGACCTGAGCACAAAAGCAGGTGGGAGAGAGGCAGAGCCTGGGCCTCATGTCCAGCAGGAAACACCTGCCAGTCACCGTGTCACTCCTACAGGTCCCTGCTCGGCAGCGTCCACTTCCTGCTCCTCATTCTCCTGAAGGTGCCCCTGTTTCTGATTATGCTCAGTGCCGTCCTCTGGGTCAACAGGCCTCAGTGGGCAGTTTGTGGGACACAGAGTCGGCCTGATGAAGACAACTTGCGGCCCTCCTTGAGCATCGATATCCTGTCCAGAGACACCGCCACTCAGACTAGAGGAGGAAGAACTTCTGGCCCCAAACCTACCTCTTCCCACCTATTGCCAAAAACGGGTAAAAATAAATAAATAAATAAATAAATAAATAAATAAATAAATAAATAAATAAATACTTGAAAAAAGCAATGAAATACATGACACACACAAGTAGATGTGCGTGGTGGTTTGCTGGGGAGAATGGGGGAAGCACTCCCTAAGACTCTGAACTTGGCAGTAGAGAGTGCCAAGTTGGCCAGGGGAGCCCAGGGTGAGGGAGGGCCTGCTTTTTGGTGACCTTGCCCTCCTGAGAACCCCCAGTGCAACCCCTCAACTCAACATTCCTTCCTTTCTCCATCTACTCGCCAAATATTCACCAAGAGCCTATGTAGCGTCAGGCTTGTTTCTAGGTGCTGGGGATAAAGCAGTCAACAAAAGACGGGCTTTCCATTCTAATGAGTGGTTTCCAAAACGAAAGAAATAAAGAATATCAGTTTATAAGAAGTGTCATGAAGAAGAATGGGTGAGAGTTCAGAGGATCGGGTGACAGAGGACAGGGATAGCCTCTTTTTTTAATTTTTATTATGTTCAGTTAGCCACTGTATAGGACATCATTAGTTTTGATGTAGTGTTCAATGATTCATTGGTTGTGTATAACACCCAGTGCTCATCAGCACACCTGCCCTCCTTATTACCCATCACCCAGCTAATCCATCCCCCCACCCCCCTCCCCTCTGAAACCCTCAGTTTGTTTCCCGGAGTCCATAGTCTCTCATGGTTTGTCTCCTCTTGGGTGAGAGCCTCAGGCAGGTGAGGGGTGGAAGGTGGAAGGTGTGAGCAAAGGCAAAGCTCAGGGCAGGGGAGTGCCCTGAGAGGCCAGTGGGGCAGGAATCCGGGGGGTCAGGTAGATGTGGATAGGCAAGGCAAGCAAATGGAATTCAGCAAAGAATTACACACCATGATGGAGTGAGGCTTATTCCAGGTGGGTGAGTTTGGTTCGACTTTGAAAAATGAAGCACTGTAATCCACCATACCAAACTAAGGAAGAAAAATCATAGGATCATCTCAAATGACACTGAAAAAGCATATGACAAACTCTAATACCCACTCATGATAAAAAAGAAACCCATAAAAACAAGGATACAGGGAATTGCCTCAACTTGATGAAGATCATCTAAAAGAAAAATACACTGTCATCACACTGAACAATGAAAAACTAAACGCTTTCCCTCTAAGATCATGAGCAAGGCAGAGATGCCCACTCTCACCGTGTGTTCATCTTAGCCCTGGAAATTCTGGCTATTGCAGTAGGTCAGATAAAGAAATAAAGGCATGGAGAATGGAAAAGAAGAATAAAGCTGTCCCTGTTTGCAGATGACATAATTGTCTATGTAGAAAACCTCAAACCATCTGCAAAACCTTACAGAACTAAGAGGTGAGTTCATCAGGTCATAGGATACAAGATTAACACACACAAGTCAATCACATTTCCATATACTAACAAGTGAACATATGCAAGCCAACATTTAAAATGCATTCCGTTTACACTTTCTCCAAAGCAAATGAAATGTTTAGGTATAAACTTAACAAAATATGCCCTGGGTATGGAAGCCAAAAATGACAAAATGCTGATGACAGAAATCAAAGAAAATTTAAATAAATAGATGTCAATTCTCCCTAAACCTGAGCTCTAATCTCTCTGACTGAAAACCAAATATCTTTTTTCCATGGGGCTCCAGAATTTCCTTGAGCTCCGGCCCTCTGTCAGCAGGGAGCTGGAGGGATCATGACAGGCCTGATCCTCAAGTACAAAAGGCATTTCTTTTTTTAAAATTTTTAATTTAAATTTGATTAATTAACATATAATGTATTATTAGTTTCAGATTTAGGAGTTAGTGAGTCATCTGTCTTACCCAATACCCAGTGCTCATTACATCACGTGCCCTCCTTAATGTCCATCACCGAGTAACCCCATCCCCCCGCCCCACTCCCCTCCAGAAAACCTCAGTTTGTTTCCTATGGTGAAGAGTCTCTTATGGTTTGTACAAAAGGCATTTCTGGTTCCCAACCTCCTGATGAGAAGGAAGGTCTCAACCAGAGCATACCTGTGGCACTTCTTTAAGCCACCAAAAGATGACGAGAGTGGCCATTTGCAGAACTTCTGGGCGGACCCTCTTTAAGGACTTAAAAATAATTGCACTCTAACAGGATTGCTTCTCAGCTGCTGAGTCCCCCTGGACGATTCAAATACTCTGATCCTGGCCACCCAGGGGTTAGAACTAGACCCACTGAATGAATCCTGATGATCTTCCCTCCTCAGGCTGAGTCCTACAGCCTGCTCCACTCCCCAAGTCCCATCCTGCTCATCAGCCTGAGCTGTTGGCTTAGGAATCACTGGGTCTCCCTTGGGGCCATCTAGAGGTGGGACCAGACATTCACAGGTCCAGAATTCAAGGTGAAACCAGGGGCCTGGAGCCCAAACTACCATTCTAGTACAGACTAGAATAAGTCAGGGCCCTAACCACCTGTGCCTGAAAGAGGGGATACAACCAGGCAGAAAGACAGAACACATCTGACTCTAGTCCAGGGCTTCAGCTTTATTGAGAAGCAGCGACCACATGGCTCTTCTGGATTTCTTACCTGCTGGAAGTGGTAGAGAGACCCAGTGCCCCCTACTGAACATGGTCAGCTGGCTGGCAACTTGGTGTGGTGACAACTGACAATACTTCCTCTTATTGCTCATGAGTGAGGGAAGCAGCTCTTTCTTTTTTTTTTTTTTTGAAGATTTTATTTATTTATTTGACAGAGAGAGAGAGAGCAGAAGCAGGGGGAGCAGCAAGCAGAGGGAGAAGGAGAAGCAGGCTCCCCGCGGTGGACCTGGGAGCCCGATGCCGGGCTCGATCCCAGGACCCTGGGATCATGACCTGAGCCGAAGGCAGACGGGGAAGCAGCTCTTTCAAGACTAACTATGATCAGGGCCAGCAAGGTTTAAGGAAAGGTGGCTGAGGGGATGAGAAACAAGGAGCCAGAGTTGCCAGGACCAAAAGAGATGAGCAGAAATGGGCAGGAGGTTAGGGTGGGAGGGTCAACCTTGGTGCAGGCAGGCAGTGGGACTCAGCATCCTCCAGGCTGGTGTGGGGGCCAAGTCAACAGTTACCTCTTCCCACTCTAAAATATCCCAGAATTTTAACCCTACTTTGGCATCTCTCCTTTCTTCAGATGCTGAGAGCTGCACAAAACAGAAGTGTCCCAGGCCTCTCTGAACTTCAGAGACACCCTAAAGCCAAAGAGGAATAAAGCAGATACTTCTGATTCCAGCCCAAGGAAAAGCAATAACATTTGCCTTTAACTTGGTCTTTGCTTCATTATTCTTTTCCCTTGCAAAAGACAGACCCAGTTCACTGTGTGGATGGTCCCCCTGCTCTTCCATGCTCAGCATGCTGACATCCTAGGCTTTTACTCTGCGTTTCTCTGTAGCACCCCCTTGAAACACCTATATTCCATCAACTCTGGCAGATGTTGTGTGAGGTCATGCTGCAGGTGAGAGGAAGTGGTGAGACTTTGGATCTTCCTCTTGAGTCCTCATATGGATCTTCCTGAATTAGGTCCTCATGTGCAGGCTTGGGGGTTGAAGAAGTAAATTGCCACAGGGTCAAATACACACGTGTATCAGTCAGGGTTCCCTGGAGACACAGAACCAATAGGAAAAATATGTATATGAAGAGTTTATTATAAGGAATATGCTCCCATGGTGATGGGAGCTGAGGAGTACCCAAGAAAGTTGGTGGTGGAATTCATTCCAAGTTCAAGGGTCTGAGATCCAGGAGTGCAGAGGGTGGGAAAAGATGGATGTCCCAATGAAGCCATCAGGTAGCAGGGGGCCAATTCTTCCTTCCTCTGCTGGTCATCCACTTCTATTCAGACCCTCAACATATTAGATGAGGCCCACCCACCCCAGGGAGAACAACCTGCCTCACTGAGTCCATGGATTCAGATGCTCATCTCATCCAGAAACATCATCCCAGACACACCCAGAGATAATCTCCCATCTGAGCAGCCCATGGCCAGTTAACCCATAACATTAACTTTCAGGGCTCGGACTCAAACCTAAAGTCAAGGTGCTGTTGTAACTGCCCTGTTCACCTGGTGGATCTTTCAACTTCTCAGCTCAGCCAGGAGCTGCAGAAACTGAAGAGTTTATAGAAGAGGGGAAGTGAGAGAGAGAAGGGAGAGATGGTGGTGGGCTGAGAAGACTGAGGGAACAGTGAGTCCCTGTCAGGTTTCTCAATTTGGGTTACAATGCCACCAGCTGCCTCTCATTCTGCTTCCTGGGTCTGAAGAAGGTGCTTCTCCCTCTTGCTGGCTCTGGGCCACTCTGCCTGCCATTGTCATGGTCTGAGTGAAAGGCACTTGAGCAGTGATGCCAGAGGAATCTGGGTTCAAATCCTGTCATCATCACTTATAATATGCTTCTGGTCAGTTTGTTGACTGAGCTGTTGGCAAGGTAGCTCGGGGGATGGGGAGATTACATAAACTCTTTGCTATGTGAGAAAAGACCAATAAACAGCAAACTCCCCCACAAAAATTAAGCAAAGTTTCAGAGGTATACTTTCACATATTGGTTTTTGCTTTTTAAATTCTTTTTTATTGGAGTGGAACACGAGAACAGGAAATTGCACATATCCTAAATACACAGCTTACTGACATTGTAGAAAGTGATATCCTTTCATGGCCACCACTCAGATCAGATATCCACACCCTTTGGCAGGGGTCCTCTACATTGTATCAGGTGGGTGTGTGGTCCACAGATATGGCAGAGCTTTGGTATACGACTTCCAAGGAGAAATCATAAATATGTTACGCCTTGCTCTTTCTAGGATCACACACTCTGGGAGAAACTCGTTGCCGTATCATGAAGACACTAAAGTAGTTCTACTGGGTGAGGAGCTAAGGACTCCTGCTAACAACCATGTGAGCGTGTCATCTCTGAAGCAGATCCTCCAGGCCAGCCCAGCCTTCCAATGAGTATAGCTTGGTCAATATCTTGACCACAACTTTGTGAAAGAGATATCCTGAGCCTCAACCACCCACATAAGCCACTCTCAGATTTGTGAGTCTCAGGAAGTGTGAGATAATTAATGTTGTGTTCTGCCACTGGGTTTTGCAGGAATTTGAAATGCCGCGATAGATATCAAATCTACTTGGACCACACTTGCTTAGGGCCAATGTCTGCAGCCAATTCAGTCTTTATTCATTCACCCAATCACTCATTTGCTCTTTAAGTAAACATTTATCATAAGCCAACCATTTGTCCCATACTGCAGTTGGCCACCGGGCCATTCGGTGATGAAAAACAGACCCAGATTGCTGCTATGATATGAGCTCTATCCTAGTGGGGAGATGCATAGAAACCACCAAAGGAAACATACTAACAAGGTTTGGTGAACTACAGAGGAAACAAATGGGGGTTGGTGATTGAGACAACAGGGTGACCCCTAGAAAGGGTGATCAGGGATGACTTTCTGAGGGAGTGGCATCCAAGGTGAAATCTGAAGGGTAAGAAGAAATAAGCAGTGAGAAGAGGTGGACAAAGATCCAAGGGGAGGGACAAGCAGGTGCTAAGGCCCTGGGGAAGGATGGGCGCTGTGGCTGGAGCACGGGGCACTTTGAGGTGGGGGAGCAAGGTAGAAATGCAGAACCCATAATTGGCTGGTCCCACTCAGGCCATGTAAGCCAAGCAAGGAGAGTGGGTTTCATCTGAAGAGCAGGGGACAAAAGGGTGTATTGGCTACTCCTAATTTTGTTGAAGTGCTCTCTTGCTGATGAGTAAAACAGAGGGAGGACAAGGCATGAGGGGACTGGGAAGAGCAGGGATGTCACCCTTGCCCTAAGAGGAGAGAGAAAGGTTGTAATGTCAGGAGGAAGAGGGGATATGGGCCGATGGACAGTACCAGAGGAAGCATTGGTGGGGAATGACAGAGAGAGGAATCCTGGGGGACAGGGTCTCCTTGCAATAACTCTGGGAATATTGTTCCCTTTGATCTAGATAAGATAGTGTGGAGGAAGAACAGATCTGGGGAGAGACTGTTTAGGGGGAAATTGATAGACCTGGTTGTGCATGACAAAGTTGAGGACCTGGCTTAACCCAGGCAAGATGTCAGGCCCTGCACCTCAACCTGCCTCTCTACCATTTCCAGCATAAACTCACCCCAAACCCATCATGGCATGAGAACACGCCACTCTGAGTTAGGACAAACCTCCCCCCCTCCTGGCAAGGACCATCCCCCAACTCTGCACCTTGAAGAGGTCCCCGGTCACCACTGTGAACCCAAAAGGGACACCAGCAGCCAGTGTTTTGGCAGACCACCCTCTTGTTACACAACGGTCCCTCGTGCCACTGGATGGAGAGGAGAAGCCCAGTCTCAGCTTCACATGTCCCCATGGTCCCATCAGCTTCCTCAATCTCTGGACCCTCTTGTCCATTGCCAGTACTCTGCCCTGCGAGTCACAGTAGAGTGGACTTTCCAAAGAAGAAAGACTCAAAAGTGAGGTGCTCACGGGGTTGGTGACGGCTGCTCCATGTTCATGTCTTGAGAACAGGGAAACACACAGGAGGGAAGCTAGCCTGGGGGATTTGTACCCTGGTTAGGAACCCAGAACCCTAATGGGACCTTTGAAAGCATCTAAGGTCACAGTGCCAACTTGTGTGGCCAGAGGAGAGCAGGGGTCCCGTGGGGACTGTGGGTGGTTAGAGGGGCAGGCTTGGGGGTCTTAACACCCTTGTAGTCACCACCGATGCCTGAGAAGATGGGCTACTGGCGCTCCACCCCGGATATGGTACATCCTGACCACAAGGAAGTGACACGTCACAAGGTTGCGGACATTCCACTGAGCAGGAAATGCTCCAGTGTGGCTCCATTGTGTGGGGCGAGTGTAGACAGCCAGAGGAGCAGCTGTGGGCTGAGGAAGGGAGACAGCAATCCCAATCCAGTCCTGGACCAGGAGCTGTCCTGTCATCAGGACTGAGAGGAGACTGGCTGGACGAAGAAGCAAAGAGGCCTGGGAAAACAGAAGTGGGCCGTGGAGACTGGACCCTCTGTGAGGAGGCTTGAAATTGTCCCCCCTCAGGGGCCTGGCATTGCTGTGGGTGACGTCTGTGCTGCTGACATGACCCCAGGGGACAGAAGGCCGTGGCTGCCTGCAGCTCTGCTCTTTCTGCAGGTCCCAGGTGAGCGGGGCTGAGCCTGGGCAGGGAAGTGTGTCCTGAGGGGAGGGAGGGAGACAGGGGGATGGGGAGGGAGGGTTGCGGTGCAGCCCGTGGGGAGGGAAGCAGGACCTGGGAGGGAGGAGGGAGAGCAGAGAACATTCTAGGATCGGCCCGCACTGCCTCAGCAGTGACCAGAAGGATTCAGTGCATACAGCTGGTGAGTCGTGTCTACTGTGCTGCACTGAGCAGCCCTGACGAGAGGGGGGGCCTGTGACCACCATTGCTCTAGAGTCATAGTCAGAAACGACATGTCTGTGCATCACACGCACAGGCACGCACACCCCGGACACCCTCTCCTTGTGTCACTTTGTGAGGAGGGAGCTATATCTCCTCCCTCTGGTCTCAGAAAAGGCCTGTCTCCTGCCAGGTTCTACTATAGACCCCGAGGGCCCTTGAGGGACTCCGGGGTCACCATGACTCCAGATCCCCTTGACCCAGGTCCATCTGGTGATTGACCACACTCGTCTCTGTTTTGCAGGCTGTTGGTGTCTGAGTGGCCCCACCTCCGTGACGGGCACCGTGGGGGGATCCCTGAGCGTGCAGTGTCAGTACGAGGAGAAATTCAGAGAGATTGCCAAATACTGGTGCAAGAGCCCATGTTTGGGGGATATTGTGAAGATTGAAAAGTCAGACAAAGAAGTGAGGAGCGGCCGGGTGTCCATCAGGGACCATCCCGCCAACCTCACCTTCACAGTGACCTTAGAGAACCTCACAGAAGGTGATGCAGGAACATACCGGTGTGGGATCGATACATCATGGCTCCCAGGATATATGATCGACCTCACCTTCCGTGTTGTGGTGTCTGTGACCCCAGGTGAGCTGTGGGCCCCCCCTCCCCCAGCGCCAGCACCAGGGCTGCCTGAGACTGGGGCTGATCACCCCAACCCCGGCAGGAAAGTGGTGGGTCATGGGGTAGAAGAGCGGGGTTAGGATGGGGTGGGTGACCCAGGACACTGGGGATGTCCCTGAATGTGTCCGTGTATGTATGTGTCCGTGTGTGTGTGTGCATGTGTTGTGTGTGTCCATATGTCCGTGTGTGTCTAGGTGTGTGTGCATTTGTGTGTGCAGGGGTTGTGTTGTCTGCACACTCACACAAGCCCATGCACACCTCTGGCTGACCTAGGCGCTTCCATGTGCCCCGCCCTGACACACTCTCACGCTTAAAGCTCTCCCAGGGTGGGCACTGGGGATGGCCCTGAGTCTGGGGTCAGCTACCTTCCTGTCCTGACAAGGGTCCTGTCCACGCTGAAGTGGACCCGAATCTCTTCCTGGACCGCTCTCTGTCCTCCCAATGGGGAACGGAACCCCTAGGGCATTCGCTCTTCTCCTTTACTGGCTGCCCATGACCCGGGCTCTAACAGGACATCAGTGTGTCATGGATGGTTCCTGAGGCCCCAGCCTCACAGCTGTGATCCTGGGGGTCTGCAGCAGCCTGAACAGGGGCCCAAGAAGGAGCCCCAGACCCTGATGTGGGGCTTCTGTGAGCATTTGGGGACCTCCCTGCCCCCGCGGCTTGACCCACCCCCTCCCGTCTGGCCCCTTGTCCCCACAGGAGGGAGCTCAGAGAAACCCCTGAGCTCCCCTCAGACAAAGGAGAAGAAGGATGAGAAAAATGATTTCTCAGGTCCTATGCCCCAAATATACTTCCCTCTGCTGCAAAGAATTCATCTTTACTAGAACCCTGTTTTTGTTTCCTAAGAACCACATGGAGGTCATCCATCTAAGTGGGTAGATTTTTATCTTGTGTTCTTATTCTGATGTTGTCCCTGGTTCCCCTAAGGTCTTTCTTGTAGGTCTTCATTTCTCTCACACAGGACATTTCCCTGCCAGGCCCTTTGTGGGATCCTATTTAACAGTGAGGGGCTGAGCATCCTCGGACACCACTGGCTGTGTGAGGGAAAGCCATTTGTCCAGTTGGCTTCAGGACAGGCCACATTCTATGGGGTCCCCCGGATGTGTGTCTGTCTCTCTAGATCTTTCTTTCTGTCTATCCTTCTGTCCTGTGGCCCCCCAGGTTCACAAGTCTGGCTGACAGTTTGGGGCCTGAGTGCATTGAGTGCCAGGGTCCCACCATTCAGTGTAGACTCTGCTGAGTGCCCTGTTTCATGATCCTCACTCCAGACATCAGCCCTGCCTAAGGACCCTGCCTGCCCCACCCCCAGCTCTGGATCAATCTCTACAGAGTAAAGCTCACCCCATCCTCTGCCAGGGTAAACAAGGTGCGGGGTGGCTGAGCCCGGAGCCCTTGCTCTTTCCCACTCCCACGTGCCCCGGTGAGCAGGACGACTGTGCCTCTGAAATCGCCCACCTGGCCAGGGTGCACCTGGAGAAGGGGCCAGGGGAGGGCCAGAGTGCCAGTCAGACTGGGTGTGGCTGTGGGGAATGTGGAGCCAGGACATCTGTCCAGATGGCCTGAGTGACCAGGACTAGGTGAGTCGGAGCCACACAACTGACAGAGAGTGGGAGAGCCCGGGGGAGGACAGCAGGCCTGACTCAGGCTTCTCCCTCAATCCTCACTGCAGGCCCCAGCTCCGTGAGGCCCACCAGCATCCCAGGTCTTCACAGGACCCAGCCAGTCCCCACGTGGGACACTGCGACTCTGCAGGAGACCCCCAATTCCAGCCAACATCCTGGGTAAGGGACTAGCAGCTGGAGACCTTTGACACCTGGGTGGTTCTAGGCAACGCGGAGGGCTGAGGAATGTGGGGGTGTGTGTCTTGGCCTAGGTCCTGCACTTATTTACCAACTCCACGCCGAATTGTGGAAGTCCTACCAAGTGCCAGGTGCTCTTCTAGGGATACAGCCCTGGGCCACCTAGACACAAGCCTGCTCTGACAATAGTTGGGAAATTCACACAGTGAAGAAGTCAACACATTCATCAATAGAAGTAATGCCAGTTCGTGATGAATGCTTGAAGGAAATAGGACACATGGGTCGGGGAGAGCATGTGTGGGAGAGTTTCGGGGTGGTGGAATTGTTATTTAATACACAATGATCAGGGAGGACTGGCCGGTGAGAGGACATTTCCCTGGAGACCTGTAGGATTTGGGGACCCCGCACTCAGGTATCTGCAGAAATTGGGCTCCAGAGACAGGGAAGAGCAAGTGCAAGCGTTTTTGCAAAGGGGGCCTTCAGGACTCAGCCCAGGTCGGCCAGGTGCTCTGGGGGCCCCTGGGCTCTCTCCCCTGCTTCCCCCTCCCACCCCCCCAGGCCCTCGCTAGAGAGTCATCCTGCTGAAGACCAGGCCCCTAAGGGAGCAGAGAGGTGAGTGGGGTCATTCATTCCCTCCATCATGAACCCCTGAATTTCAAGGCCAAGGTTTTGGAGGCACCGCACAGATGTCAGATCCTCCCTGGGACTAAAGCACACATTTCCGATCCCTCATAGGCAACACTGCTCATGGGGAGCAGACATCAGATAAATAACCCCGGCACTGATTTCTGGTCCACAGACAGGGTAACCCCCAATAGGGAGGGCTTAGGTAGAACCCTTTTCCTGGCCCAGGTCCTGCCTGCTCCCTGGGGTCTCCTTCCCATCACTCCAATAGCCAGGCCCTCTCCATGTCCACATCCTGTCTCAAGGGCAATTGTTAGCCTGAGGGTCACAGACGTGGTCTGTTGTGTGGGGCTGCCCCGCCCTTGGACCCTCCTGGGACTGATCTCTGTGTGGACTGTTGTAGCCTCAGGACATGGGCACAGGGACAGAAGGATTGTGGAGGGTACCAGGGCGTCTCCCTGAGGATGTGGCTCACTGCCTGTCACCGTGTCCCCCACAGGTCCCTTCTCAGCAGCATCTACTTCTGGGTGGTGCTCCTGCTCCTGAGCTTGCTCAGTGCTGTCCTCTGAGTGAATAGGCTCAGAGGGGCTCTGGGGGGAGGTGTCGTCATCCTGATACCAGTAACACCAATTGCCCACTGATGACCCGTCCGGGAACACAGCCCATCTGATGGATAGGAATGGCCTTTTGACCAATACATCCAGCCATTTTCCGTATTTCTTTCCGAATATTCAGTAACCTTTTTGTAACTTTCTCTGCAGTGTATCATAGACACAAAGAATGTTCCCAATAAATGCTTACTCCTTAAACCTTGACTACTCTTCAACCCTTGGGTGCCCACCTCATAGCTTAATAATAAACATCGTTAATATTTCTGAAGTCCCAATCTCTCCTCTGAGAAATCCAACTATGAATTTTACATTCCTGTTCTCCTTGTTTTCTTCATGGGTTTGCCATATATATGCATATATATTTCAAAATATAAACTTACATTTTTTAGCAGTCCCCAAGTTTACTTTTATTTTTATTTTTTCCAGCTTTATTTAGATATAACTGACATACAATATTATGTGAGCTGAACATGTCGGGCATGTTGATTTGATGCACATATACTGCGAACCGATTACTACTGTGTGGTTAGCTAACATCACCATCATGCCACATCACTACCATTTCTTTTTTGTGGTGAGAACATCTAATATCTACTCTCTTAGCAACTTTCAAGTGTATAATAGAATATTATTAACTGTAGTCACCATGCTATGCATTAGGTATCCAGAATGTATTCATCCTATAATCGGAAGTTTGTATCATTTGGCCAATCCAATTAAAACATGGGCAGAGAGGGGTGCCTGGGTCACTCAGTTGGTTAAGTGTCCAACTCATGATTTTCTCATCCAACACGAGCTCAAGCCCCACATCAGGCTCCTCATCAAGCTCCACACTGAGCTCATGGAGGCTGCTTAAGATTCTCTCTCTCCCTCTTCCCCTTCCCCTCCACTCCTGCTCCCTCAGTCTCTTTCTCTCTTAAATAAAATGGGCAGAGAAACTGAATCGACGTTTTTCCAAAGAAGACATATAAATGGCCAACAGGTACATAAAGAAGTGCTCAACATCACTCATTGTCAAGGAAAGGCGAATCAAAACCACGATGAGACATCACCTCACACCTGTCAGAATGGCTATCACCAAAACAACAAGAGAGAGCAAGCATTGGCGAGAATGTGGAGGAATGGAAACCCGTGTGAAGGAGTTGGTGAGTGGGTGCTCAGTAAGCATTTGCAAGTAGAAGAACAGGGCACAGACCTGTACCTCAGCGATTACTCTTCAGAGCTTGAGCTGGCAAGGCTGCATGGGGATACCAGCAGGGATGCCCTGCCCCATCTGTGCAAAACAGGGTGAGCTCCAACCCCTTTGCACATCCCACCCTCCCATGAGCCCTTCTGCTCTGAGCTCTCCCCTTGGTTGCCTTGCTATCAGCCAAGACAGGGAGCTCAACTATTTCCTTGACTTTGACACAAGATTATTCACACAAGGGTGGTGCACATGGAGCAAACTTTCCCGAAGGATTGACATGAAGGAGAGAGGTTACATCTCAGAGTCAGGGAAAGGAAAAATTGAGATTCAAACAGCCTTATACTTTTAAAACCCATTGGCCCTGTTCCTGAGTCCTGCTCCCAGCTGACTGCTATCCTGGCATCTCCACCTTCAATCAGACCAACTCTCGACAAAACACAGAGACCTGATTAATAGTTCTCCCCATCACAGTCTGTGTTTATGAAAACTTCCCACATAGTTTTGTTTTTAATTTATTTTTTAAAGATTTATTTATTTGAGAGAGAGTAGAGGGAGAGGGAGAAAGAGAATCCTCAAACAAACTCCCCACTGAGTGCCAAGCCCAATGCGGGGCTCGATCCCAGGACCCTGAGGTCTTGAAATGAGCCGAAACCAAGAGTCAGCCACCTAACCGACCAAGCCACTCAGGGACCCTGACATATTTTTTAAAAAACGAGACCAATCATATTATTGGAATTGTTATTTTGTTGTTGTGGTTATTGAGTTGTATGAGCTCTTTAATATTTGGGATATTAACCCTTTATCTGATATATGATTTGCAAATATTTCCTCCCATTCTGTGGGTTATCTTTTTATTTTATTTTATTGATTGTTTCTGTTGGCTATGCACAAGTTTTTAATTTGATGCAGTCCTACTTGTTAATTTTTGCTTTCATTGCTTGTGCTTTTGGTGTCACATCTAAAAATTATTGCCAAGACTAATGTCAAGGAGCTTTTCCTCTGTTTTCTCCTATAAGTGTCACAGTTTTGGGTCTTACGTTTAAGTCTTAATTCATTTTAAGTTAATATTTGTGCACTGTCCAGTTTCATTCTTCTCCAGTTTTCCTATCACCATTTCTTGAAGGGACCATACTTTCCCCCATTGGCTATTCTTGGGTCTCTTGTCAAATATTAGTTGACTTTATATGTGGGAGCTTATTTGTAGGCTTTCAATTCTGGTCTATATGTTTATGTTTTTTTAAAGTTTTATTTATTTAAGTCATCTCCACACCCAACATGGGGCTTGAACTCACAACCCCAAGATCAAGAGTCACATGCTCTACCAACTGAGCCAGCCAGGCGCCCCTCAATTCTGATCTATATGTTTTTATGCCAGTACCTTTTGATTTCTATTTGTAATATGATTTGCATCACTACAGGACTGAACCCTCCTCCTCCTCTCAGCCTTTTTGAATGTGTCCCCAACCACAGGACCTCCAGAAGACCTCCTCCCTCCACAGCCTGGCCTGGATACCAGGCCAGACACTCATCTGTTTCCCAAAGCTGTTCTTTAAGAATTTTAGCTACTGGGTTATAAATCAGGATGCGAATTAAATTATGTCAGGTTAAGGCTAGAATTTGCCTTATTACTAATGAGGAAACCCAGTCCATCAGCCTTCTCTCTCTCAGCTTTCTGCCCTGGGTTTATTTTATGCGACTTTTCATCGAGCATCTGAAGTTTTGCCCCGAACACTAACACAGATCCCAGGATTGTGTCCTCAGAGCTTCACACACTTTTTCTCACTTAATTCTCGTAACAACTCTTCTGTTATTCCCATCATAACCCAGTTTACAGATACACAAACTGAGGCTCAGAAAAATTCAGTAAGTTGTCCATGCTCACACAGTTTGTGAGTGGTGCTCAGGGTTAGAGCCCAGGTCTGTCTGATCCTCCAGCCCACACTTTTTTTTTTTTTAATATTTTATTTCTTTATTTGACACACAGAGAGAGACAGTGAGAGAGGGAACACAAGCAGGGGGAGTGGGAGTGGGAGAGGGAGAAGCAGGCATCTCCCCGAGCAGGGAGCCCGATGCGGGGCTCGATCCCAGGACCCTGGGATCAGGACCTGAGCCGAAGGCAGACGCTTAACCGACTGAGCCACTCAGGCGCCCCCAGCCTGCACTTTTATGCCCTTGGTTATAACACCTGAACAAACGCATCTCCAAGTATGGCAAGCTGGCTCATGTGACCCCTGAGTAGGAAGGAGGTGCTGTTTCCTGCTGCTGGGACCCATTGCTGTGGTAGAGAAACATTTCTGGAGTTGACACCCAGACTATTGTACCCCTTGGATCCAAAGCCTGGTAGGCCAGATGCCCCCTGGTCTGCCCTTGTTGCAGACACATACCCTGCCCCTCCTCACTCCATACAGCCCGGTTTCCTCTTTCCTATGTGGCAGCGACTTCTATGTCCTGTGCCCCAGCCCTTCCAAGAAATGACACTCAATTTGCTGAATAATTAAAAGCAGGAAATACTTTACGAAAGGAAGTGAGTGGGTCAGAAACTCAAAGGCAACCCAAACAAAGTGCAAGCTTGGGCTCAGGCAGAGCTGTGAGAGTCCAGCTGGGATCCGAGTGTGCTCGCCAGGTGTCGGCAGAGGGCCAAGGAGCCTGGGAGCCAGGACCATGCGGCTGTGGCTAGTTCTTCTCCTGCTCAGCCTCCCAGGTGAGTGCGGTGGGGGCTCTGGGGAGTTGGTCCCCCTGGGGCAGGGCAGGGGACCGAGAGCTATCCCAGGCAGAAGGGGACGTGTCATATCTGGGGAAATGAGAGGGAGTTTTGTTAATTAATTCAGCAAAAAAGCACGCCGGGTTCTTACTTTGTGCCAGGCATTCACCGGGCCCTGAGGACTTGAAGGGAAAAAAAGAACAGGACTGGCCATTAGAAAGGGGACCCCAGACAGTTCAGTGGGTGAGATGTGCAGATAAAGAGCAACCCAATGGCAGGCATTGATGGAGGGGTGCTCAGAGGCCCAAGCAGGTCTGGCTGAAGGAGATACAGAAAGCCATACAGACACCATCCATTGGATGAGCTTTGAAGAAATGGATCAACCCTTCAAGCAGAGAAGGGAGAAGAACATTCCAGGGAGAGCGGACTGCTTGACCAAGACATGGAGGCTTGAGAAAGGATGGTGCATTCATGCACAGAGGCCCTCAGTGTGCAAGGGGCCTTGGGGTGACTGGTTGGCCGTGAGGTTGGAAACGCACAAGACAAGATTAAGAAGGACCTTGGACGCCATGCCCAGGAACCGAGACTTTCAAAGAGAAAATTGCTCAGGAACCCAGGAGGGAGATGGGAGGGGGTCATGTATCTTCTCTGTGGAAAGCTACTACACACCAAGAGGACATTAGGGTCAGTCCAAAAGTTTGCACAATGTATGCTGTGCATGTGGGTCACACACAGCCTTCTCTATGAGCCGGGAGACAGACCTTCTAGCAAAACAGACTGGTCCAAAGGGGTTCCCCAAAAAGGGCATAGCCAGGGAGTTGGGAGACTGGAGTTCCAGTCCTGACAAGAGCGCATGACATGGGCAAGCCCCCTCCTTGTTCTAAGACCTGGATTTCTGATGTGAATGGAATGTCTCTGATGCCCTTCCTAGCTGTAATGTTGGGGGACTCTGCTATTCAGATCAGATGTAAATAGACAAGGGCTGTGGTCATTCTTAAGTTATCAAGGCCATTTCTGATTTTATCAGTGATAGAAGCCCCATGATGATACCTGTAGATGGGTGGCTTCTCTGTGACCACTATGCCCCTTAGGCAGGACTCTGAACAGCCCAGAATTCCCAAAGGACAGCAGTTCAGAATGTCTGCCTCTCCCCCTGGACTCTAGCTTTGCATTTGAATTCAAAGACCCGCATCTGCTCTCTTTCTTAACCCCAACATCCAGCTTACCCAGAGGCCAAGAGGAAAGGTGAACTGCCTGGGCTCCCACACACAACACACTCATACAATGGAGTCAGATGCACACACCCATATGCAGTCATGCCCTCATTCACATCTGTGTGCTCACACACTCATATAGTGTTAGACACACACTCATGTGCACATGCACACTCACACACAGTCTCCCTTATATGCACACACCGACACAGTCTTCCCCTAGATGAAGGCTGAGACCCACAGTGGCTGTTCTGTGGCTTTGGGCAGGGTGGCTTGGCTGCAGAAACAAGACAGGGTGTCCCTCCTCCTCTGCAAGTTCACGAAGGAAGGGGGTGAAGTAGTCAGTGATGCAAGACAAGCCAACCCACTAACAGACTGCCTTTAGATGCTCTGGGGTTACTTCTGTGAAACGAAAAGGAGAGAAGGTGGATGGAGTGAAGTCAGAATGACCCAGCTTCCAGTAGGACATTCCTGTCGCCTCTGTCACACAGTCCAGCAGCAGCCCTGAGGGGAAGGTAGGGCACTGGCATCCATGGGTGCTCAGTGAGTGTTTGCAAGTGGGGGAACAGGAGCACAGACCTGTACACCAGCAATTACTCTTCAGCACTTGAGCTGGGAAGGCTGTGTGGGGACACCAGCAGGGATGCCCTGCCCCATCTGTGCAAAATGAGGTGGATTCAAACCCCTTTGCACATCCCATGCCCCATGAGGCCCCCTGCTCTGAGCTCTCCCCTTGGTTGCCTTGCTATCAGCCAAGACAGGGAGCTCAACTATTTTCTTGACTTTGACACAAGGTTATTCACACAAGGGTGGTGCACATGGAGAAACTTTCCCGAAGGATTGACATGAAGGAGAGAGGTTACATCTCAGAGTCAGGGAAAGGAAAAATTGAGATTCAAACAGCCTTATACTTTTAAAACCCATTGGCCCTGTTCCTGAGTCCTGCTCCCAGCTGACTGCTATCCTGGCATCTCTACCTTCAATCAGACCAACTCTCGACAAAACACAGAGACCTGATTAATAGTTCTCCCCATCACAGTCTGTGTTTATGAAAACTTCCCACATAGTTTTTCAAAAACAAGCCAAATCACATTATGAATGCTTTACTGCCAGATTAAATTAGCAAAGTTGGGATTGATGAAACTTCTATTTCGAAGCAGCAACATCTCTAACCTTATTTTTGATTGTTGGAAAATACCATCTAACTGACCCTCAGCTTTGGATCGTAGCTGTGTTGTTGCTATTGTTGTCTTAAGAAAGAAAACCACCCTTTCTGCCAACTCTTGTATTTGATTTTCATTGACATCAATTATTGTCTCTTAGCAATCTTTTTCCTAATTGAGTCCTTTCAATTATTAAAATTTTTTTTCTTAGTTGTTTTTATCAGTTAATGACATTGTAAACATTTACACATAATAGAAATACGTGATTTAGAAAGGGAAACTTCACCCCAAGCCCCAGGTTCAGCAGTGACCACTGTTAAGAGTTTACAACACTTAGTGTTCAATTTTTTCTATGCATGCACCACAGAAAAACACAGAAAAGGAATCCAAACACTATGTTAGGCAACTTTTAAAAAACCTAATGACAGCCAGCGCCTTCTCAAAAACAATCATAAACTTTATTGATACCTTCCAGAATCCAGATACCATGCAAGACATGGGGACTGGGGCTGGGGAAGAGAGAAAACACAAATCCAAAGTCTCTGCCCTACTAGGACAGAGCGTCCTAGTAAGGGAGACAGAGAGAGAGAGAGACCGGTAATGGTAACAAAATACCAGTGTGGCACTCAGGTTCCTATAAGGGCATGGAGCAACAGGAGGAAGCAATTCTAGTTGGGAAAGGGAATAAGGTGATCAGTAGGCAGGCTGGGCTCGGAGAAGGGTTTCCAGGTGGAAGGAAGGACATGAGCAGTGACATAGCGCCTGGGAAGGCTCATCAGGCTCAGAGGAAGAGAAAAGTGGGGGTGGGTTATAAGGTCCAGTGGAAGGCAGGGAGGAGCAGGAAATGGTGCTGGTCAGAGAATTTGGGTCTGACATGGAAAAAAAAAGAAGTTGAATGCCCCACGAAAGCATTTTAAATCATTCCGAGGCACTGGGGAGTGGTTGACTTTGGGGTAGTGATGTACAGTGTGTATTTGGAAACAGTAGGCTGGAGCTAAGGAAAGAATGTGGACCACAAACATGGATTTGGGGAACCATCGCATGTTGGCAATAACCAAAATCAGAGGAAGGGAGAATCCCTCCATGGGGGTGTAATAAAGTGGGACAAAACGAGGACTGGAGAGGGACCCCTGAGCTCCCCCTGCAGCGCTCCGGGGCTGGTTCACACTGGCTTGCAAGAACTGACTCTTCTCAGCTCTGTGTCCAGTGACATCGCACAGACTGCCTGAGATCAACCGGGGTGGGAATATTTACACCACAGAAACTGGAAAATGCTACAAATGGAGATTTTCTTCCCAGAGGGCTAGTTTTTAAGTATTTACCAACATATCATTTTTGCACCAAGATTTAAAGAGGGAGGAAGAGAAATCAGTAAAGGCCTCAGAGATGAGCAGTCGGAGAAGGAGGACAGTGGATGAGGACGAAGTTTCAAAGCCAAGAAAGACTGTCAGAAAGTCAGGAGTGGTGACGCTGTGGGTAGGACCAGGGAAGTGAGGACCGAAGAGGCCGGACATTATCACTGCGGGAGCTGATGGGGAAGCTGGACAGAGGAGGCGGATCTTTGGGGTCAGCTAGGAGGTTCCTGCAAAGGCCCGGACCCTGGCTCAGTCCCTGGACACCAACCTGGGGCCACCTGAGCCCATGAGGCTCCCAGACCAGGCCTGGCTCAAGGTGGTAGGAGTTGTATCTTGGGATTCTGTTTTCCAGGCTGTTTCTCCATCCAAGGCCCAGAGTCCGTGAGGGGTCTAGAAGGGGGCTCGGTGAGCGTGCAATGTCACTATACAGCAGAATGGGAGACTTACGAGAAGTGGTGGTGTCGCGGAGCAGACTGGTTATCATGCCAGATCCTCGCTCAAACCAATGGATCAGAGCAAGTAATGAAGACAGACCGTGTGTCCATCAGGGACAACCAGAGTCACTGCTTGTTCACTGTGACCATGGAGGACGTCAGGCAAGATGACACAGACACTTACTGGTGTGGGATTAGCAGACATGGACCCGACCTTGGGACATCTATCAAAGTGACCATTGACCCAGGTAAGAACTTTCTCATTTACGCAGTGAGGCCCTCATCCTCAGGACAGAAAGAGTGAGGGCTTCTGCTTCCCCTCCCCAAGGGCAGAAGGGAAATGGCTGAGTACCTGAGAACAGGGTCCCCATCACAGTCCCTGAGGTCACCTGAGGCATCTGGCTGATGCACGCAAGGCTGGCAGGTCTTGGGGTAGGGGTGGGGACGTGGACCCCGCCTTCATTGCCCATGGCCCAGGCCAGCTCTCCTGGGGACCCACAACCCTGGCAGCCCCACAGTCTCTCATCAGAGGTATGGGTGGACCTTGGATGCCTTGGATCCCAGGGCATTGCTCCAGGCAGTGGTCACTGGTAGTCATACTCCAGACCCGTCACTACACAGAGAGGGGCAGGGGAGACACCTGGGGAAGCCCAGAGTGTCCCAGCACTGAACCTCAAGAACCTGGCCAACACAGAGTAGCTCTGGGCACTTGACAGTGCCTCTCCTCTCTGGGCCCCCAGCCGCCCTGCCCACTACTTTCCCTCGCAGCATAAGAACAAGCAAGGAATTAGAGGGACCCAGGAAGGGGCTCAAGTAACAGTGGTTGCGGTAAGGAGAAAGGAAGGCTTTGATCATTATGCCAACATCAGGGACCCCTCTGGCTGTCCTGGGGTCTCCTCAGGCCTAGGACTCAACTAAAAAATAGGTCATGAACACTCAGTGCCAAGCTGGTCTCAGGAATCCATGACCAAGTAGCCGACCACAAACTGTCTTCATAGTTTCTCATAAAGATGTTTAATTTATCACAGCCATTGCTCACGATTGAACCAGAATGTGCCCTCTTATTCACCAGCTCTCTGGAGTCCTCCTCCTCTTCCTTATCACCCCAATACCTGGGCACCCCATTTCCAGAACCACATGTCCTTGAGCCCAGCTCAGGCACTGCTTGAGGACCAGCAATGTTTCCCCCCTGGCTAAAGTCCCACCTAGAGGGGTAAGTGGAGAGAAGTGGAAAGACAGATCTCTCTCCCCAGAAGCACCTCCCAGAGCAAGAGTGCCGGCTCCTGTTTCCTTTTTATTTCTTCGTGCCACACCCGAGTTGATGGAAAGCGACTAAGTGGTGGTTCAGAAAACTCAGCAGAGAGCGCCTGGGCCGCACCGTCCGTTAAGCATCTGCTTCTTGGTTTCGGCTCAGGTCATGATCTCAGGGTGGTAAGACAGAGCCCCGTGTTGGGCTCTGTGCTCAGCGGGGAGTCTGCTTGAGATTCTCTCCCTCTCCCTCTGTCTTTCCACCTCCCTCTAAGATAAGTAAACAAAATCTTAAAAAAAAAAAAAAGAAAAAAAGAAAAAGAAAACCCAGCAGAAAGGGAGAAGCCTGGGGACTATATCCAGCTTCCCAGTCCAGGGGCAGGGTGGCTTCCCGGAGGGGGCGGGGGCAGGACCCTGGGAGCCGCCCACGAGCCCCCGTCTGTCCCCATAACCTGTGACCGACTCTGCCTGTGTCTAGTGGGCATGGTTCTGAGCACCTGGGCGAGCCCGCTCTCTAGAACAACTACCAGCGGCCATGCAGGGGTGTTGTCCGACTCCTACATCAGGTGAGTGGTGGCCGTCCTTACCCTGCCCCTACCTGGGGCCTCTCCTACTCTGCGTCTGCACCCTCATGGGACGCCAGAACTGTCACAGCCAGGCTCAAGGCCCAAAGCCACCCCCCCACCAACTCGCTCCTGCCTGTGTTGCCCCTCACCCCCCATCTCCCCATTCCACCCTCCCCAGGAAGCCATTCTGCAGAACCTTTCTCTACATTCAGTTGTTGACAAAAAAAGCCCTGATGACCTCGAGCGTGCCAAGGGGAGATAAGACAAAATCCCCACAGTGCGAGGCACTGGGTGCCGTGGGGCAGGAGCGTGGCTCAGCCGCCTGGAACTGGCATTTTCGGAGTGGCGAAGGCACACAGCCTGTCGAGGGTGACCCTAAGTTGCGGAGATGCACTTCGGGAAAGGGGAGCTGCAGGAGGTGCAATTAGAAAGGAAGGTGGGCCCAGAGCAAAGCAAAACCAACAAGGTGAAGTTCCTTCCGAGGAGCCCTCATGGTTGAGCCACTGAGCAGGTTCACGGGGGTCTTCGGAGTGGGGCTGCCAGGCCCAGGGTCACAGGCTTTGCGGGGCTGGCCAATGCTCCCCACTGTCAGGGCGCTGGGAGTGACGGGGCTGGGGGTGCCTAGGGCTCTGACGGCTCTGTCCCCTCTTGCAGGCACCACTACATTCTCCTGGCGTTCCTGAAGGTGCCCATCTTGCTCGCATTGGTCGGTGCTGTCCTTTGGTTGAAGGGGCCTCAGCAGAGACCGTCTATCTGTATGAACTTGTCCTCTGATCTCGTCAGAGACACAGCCCCTTAGACAGACAGATGAGCGGAATCTTCCGCCCTGGGACCCCATTTCCAGAGGAGACACAGGCCGTGGAAGAAATGCCTCTGGGTCCTCGGGAGGCAGTGACTGAGGCTGGGGGCGCTGAAGGGCTGGCCGGGCACCCTCCCGGCTCTACACAGCTCAGGGACACAACTTGGGGCCCTCTTGAGGTGTCATGTCTCCCTGGACTTTTCCTACTCCTTCGGGTAGCAAATGCCCCACCCTACCCAACGTGGGGCTGGGGCTCATGGTCGGAGCTGCTGGGGTGGGACCCAAGCCGCGTCCTCTCTGCTGGAAGAAGTTGGGGTATGGCGTGAGTGACTGAAGCACAGAGAGAAGCAATAGGGGTGCAGACAGAGACAGAGAGATGGAGCCCTGCCCACGCCCTGGTCTCCTTCACTCCTGAGACCAGCTCAGCCTGCTCTGTGTCTGAGCTTCTGATATATAAGGGTTCTTTCTTAAGCCAGTCAAGATGGGCCTCAGAAACTACTTCAAGGTTGGGGAGGGCAGTCAGGAAAACCATCTGAGGGAAATGATATGGCCTCCCCTACATGATGATATTTTAATAATCTTCATAATTAATTTGTTTCAATAATCTTAATAATTAAAAATGTCTGTGATAAATGACATTTTTTTCATTTGTCCATTTGGGTGGACTTGGCCACTTTACGCCTTAGGGGCCTTGGGTCCTTCCACCGAAGGGAGCGCCACCTCACGTGAGAAGGAATAGCCCCATTTGAGATGTGTCTACCCACACGCAAACACACACAAACACACCAGTTTGGAATGTTTCCCTTTGTCTACCCCTGCAGCTTTATTGAGCTATAATTGACAAATAAAACTGTATATATTTAAGGTGTAAATGTGATTTTTTAAAGGGTCACAAAGTGATGATTTAACATATATACGCCTTGTGAAATGAACACCACAACCTACTTCATTAACACGCCCATCACTTCACATATTTATCCTTTTTTTTTTTTTTTTTGATGTGGGAAGAACACTTCAGATCTACCCTCTTAGCAAATTTCAAGTATACAACACAGTATTATTAACTATGGTCATCATACATAGGAACTATACTAAACCCAGAACCTAGCTTATAACTGAAAGTTTGTGCCCTCTGAGCAACATCGTCCCATTTTCCCCCACGCCCCAGCCCTTGGTTCTATGGGGAGTGTTTCCCTCTGAACATCCTGGGAGGATGTGCCCACCCTCTTATTTGTCCTTATATGTAGGCCCTGGCTCTCAGCCTTAGGAGGTCATGGGAAGGTGCCTCACCAGGGGATAAAGGAGACAGGAATCCCTGTCCCTAGCGTGGTAGCTGGAACCTCCCCTCCCCACGGGGAAGCAAGAGTCCCCTCCCTTTGTCCTTTAGTCAATGAGAAACTTTCTCCCACTTTCACTGGGTGTAGGGCTCTGGTCAGTGGTGGGCCTGAAAATTCCACTGTGCTCAGAGAGGATAAATTTTGAGCCAGACTAAGAGCCTTTGAGTCACCCTGTTTGGGGATGAAGGTCCTTAGTCCACCAGCTCCAAAGGTCCCTCTCTGTGACTACTTCCTTGGATCCAGCCTCCCCAAGATGCGACCAGACTCGGGTGACAAGCAGCTCTTGGGGGGCAAAGCCAGAGCCCAGCAGCTTCACCAGCTGGCCCAAATGGGTGCAAGGCCATTGGCAATTGCTTTTCCCAGTGTCTTACAGTCGATATTCAATGACCCCTATGTCTTCGGAGATTCTGTGGTTGGGTTGTTACTCTCACGACATCATCAAAGAGAATGCACTGGAGTAGGCATCGTGGTCTGTCCTGAACACCACCCCCCCACCCCACCCCCACACACTTCTGGAAACTTCCCCTTGGGTTCCTATGAATATGGTGAAGCAAAACTCGCCTCTTAACACCCGCTGTCTGGGGTGGGGAGAAAGACAGAAATTGTAAGTTAGCCACTGGGGCAGGATAGCATTTTCCAGCAAATGTGTTTCCACTAGGAGCCTGGTGCCAAAGCCCCTGTGCCCATAAACAGCTCTAGACTGGTACAGCTCCTCATGTGCTCACTGGAGCACACGTCGTAACCAGGAGTTAGTGGAAGCAGAGAAGTGGAGAGAGCAGGAGCCGATTGCTCTTTTAAGAAGAAAGCGTAACTTCTCCTTCCCCGTGAGTTCCTCCTTGTGGGTCCTTACTTCCTTTTTTTTCTTCTTTTATGGAGTTTTTTTCCCCCCGACTTCTGAGCACCTTTGCAACCACAGAGGAAGTTTGTCAAGAGCAGGGAGAAGCTGGCGGGGTCAGGGGAAGCAGCAGCCCCTGCCCCCCCACCCCGGGGAAGGACACCACGGTAGGAAGGGACACTCCTACCAGCTGGGATGTGGCATTTGTCCTTCTTGATGCTAGATATGTCCTGACTGGTGTTTTCTTAGTAAGTGAGGTTAAAGGAAGAAGTTTCCAGCACCCTCCACCTATCGTCTGAAGCATCTCCCCATACAGCTCACTGCTATGCCTTCTTCCACCGGCCCTAGGCTTTCCAGATCCCCACAGCTGGTCTGCTTATGTCCCCCTGCTCTGCACCCAGGCCGTCTGGGAGTCAAGTCTCCACTCAGAATGGGGATCCAGGTACAGTGCCCGGACTTAACAGGTACTTTAGCAAGGAAGGGGTAAGGGTCTGATCTGGCCCCAAACCCATGCTTTCAATGGGAACAGCAGCCTTGGTCCTAATTCCCCAAAATCTTCCTCCCAGCTCCCCACTGGACAGTGGTCCCATCTCTTGGGAACTGAGACTGGCCTCCCCACTCTCAGGACGCCTCCTGGCCTGGCCATGCTGAGTTGGTCCCAGTCATGGGGCTGCACAGATTCAAGGGTGATTCATGAACCCAGTCGAGGCTGGCAGGAGGTGGGCAGGGGGTTAAGCTCAGAAAAGGTTTAAGGTAAGGTGAGCAGCAATTTAGGAGCTGGGATGGAGATGATGCTGGGCAGCAGATGGTGCCCTTCCAGCAAGAGGATGAGGGAGCCCAGACCCCAGGCCTCTTCCCTGTTAGCCTTCACAGCATGGCTTAGGGGAAGAGATTCTTATAACAGAAATTCTTATAACAAGGAAATGAGAAGCACTGTTTTCAGGGCACATGGATGAATTGTTTGATATCGTATGAATGAGGGGAGCCCCTTGGTGTCTCCTTCTATACATTTGGCTTGAAATGCAAGAGCAGGCTCTCGTATCAACTGCTCTCCTTTTATCACTGAAGAGAAAGGTTGCAACTAAGGAGGAAAGTCATGGGTTCTCCTGTGGCAGCCACCACTGGACCTGATGTAGAAAGCCCAGCTTGGGATTAAAATAATAATAGGATACTGCTACACATATTAGAATGGCCAAAATCATGGGTGCCTGGGTGGCTCAGATGGTTAAGTGTCTGCCTTCGGCTCAGGTCATGATCCCAGGGTCCTGGGATCGAGTCCCACATCAGGCTCCGTGCTCCTTGGGAGCCTGTTTCTCCCTCTGCTTCTTTCTCTCTCTCTCTGTCTCTCATGAATAAATAAATAAAATCTTTAAAAAAAAAAAAAAAGAATGGCCAAAATCCATGGGTGGAGGGAAGGGGTAACTGGGTGATGGACATATTAAGGAGGGCACATGATGTAATGAGCACTGGGTATCATATAAACTGATGAATCACTGACCTCTACCGCTGAAACCAATAATACATTATATGTCAATTAATTGAATTTAAATTAAAAAAAAAAAACATTAAAAAAAATGGCCAAATTCCAAAACACTGACAACACTAAATTCTGGCAAGGATGTGAAGCATCAGGAATTCTTGTTCATTGCTGATGGGAATGCAAAATGGTACAGGCAATTTATTTTTTATTTTTTATTTTTATTTTTATTTTTAAAGATTTTATTTATTCATTTGAGACACAGAGATACAGAGAGAGAGAGAGAGCATGAGCAGTGGGAGAGGCAGAGGGAGAGGGAGAAGCAGACTCCCGGCTGAGCCAGGAGCCCGATGTGGGGCTCGATCCCAGGACCCCGGGATCATGACCCGAGCCGAAGGCAGACGCTTAACCATCTGAGCCACCCAGGCGCCCCGGTACAAGCAATTTTAAGACAGTTTGGAAGTGTCTCACTAAACTCAGCATACTCTAACCATGTGACCCGGCAATTCTTGGTATTGACTCAAATCAAGTGAAAACTTACGTCCACACAAAAGCCTGCACACAAATGTTTATAGCAGCTTTATTCCTAATTGCCAAAACTTGGAAGCAACCAAGACATCTTTCAGTAGGTGAATGAACAAATAAACTGTGGTCCATCCAGAGAGTGGAATATTATTCAACACTAGAAATAAATGAACTATCAGGCCACAAAAAGACATGGAGGAACCATAAAGTTCTGTTATTAAATGAAAGAAGGCAATCTGAAAAGGCTACATACTGTATGATTCTAACTATATGACATTCTGGAAAAGGCAAAACTATGGAGACAGTGAAGAGATCAGTGGTTGCCAGGGATTAGAGGGAGAGAGGGATGAAAAGGGGGAACACCAGGACTTTTAGGGCAGTGTAAGTACTCTGTAGGATTCCGTAATCATGGACACATTTTGTCTAAGCTCATAGAATGTACAAAACCAAGAGTGAGTCCTAATGTAAACTATGTTCTTGTGTAATAATGATGTGTCAATGCTGGCTCATCAATCGTATGTAACAAATGTACCATTCTGGAGCAGGAGGTTGATGGTTGGGAGGCTGGGCTGGGGCAGGGGCATGTGGGAACTCTGTATTTCTGCTCAACTTTGCTGTGAATCTAAAGCTGATCTGAATAATAAAGTCTATTAGGAAAAAAAAAAGACTAGTGAGAAGATGAAGACCTTGCATTAGATACTGAAAACTTTGGGAGAAAAATAAATCTCAGATTCTAAAGCAACTGTGGAGACAGCCCCTCCTTCCTCTGGCTGACCCATAGCCTCCTCTGGGGTGGGACCTAGCCTCACTTGCCCCCGGGCTCTTGGGTCTCCGTCCTCCCATGGGGAGCTTTGAGGGGTGACACAGATCACACCAGGATTCCCAAAGCTTAGGCCACTGGAACCTGCTGCACATCATCTAAGATGCCAGAAAACCTATCCCCTGGGGCACCTGGATGGCTCAGTTGATTAAGCACCTGGCTCTTAATCTCAGCTCAGGTCATGATCTCAGGGTCATGAAATTGAGCCCCACATTGGGCTCCACGCTGAGCATGGAACCTGCTTGTGATTCTCTCTCTCCCTCCCTTTCCCTCTGCCCCTCCCCTACTTGCCCATGCACACATGCTCTCTCTCCCTCTCTAAAAAAAAAAAAAAGAAAGAAAGAAAAAGGAAAAAAAAAAAAAGAAAAATTACCCTCTTCTTCAGCCAGTAGCCCAGTATGCCTGCACACAATGTTTGCAATAGACAGAAATTCTTATAACAAGGAAGTGAGAAGCTAGGGGAGGCTGCGTTTACAATGAACCAGAAGCTTACTAACAGGTTTTAAATAGTCACCAAGAAATGTCAACCAAGATAAGAGAAAAGAGGATATCTTTAGCTCAGGCACAGTGAAAAACAGACATCTGAAGACAAGGAAGTTGTGAGGGAGACTCTATAGGGTGATGGTTCACATTATGGCCTCTGAAATCAGACAGACCTGAGTTCACACCCCAGCCGTGCAGCTTCCTTGCCTACCACCTGGGACCATTTGCTTTCACTAACCATCTGTCTCCTCACCTGTAAAATGGGGGTGACCGCAGATCCTGTCTCATAGAATGATCACAAGGATTCAAGAAGACCCTGCTGGTGAAACGTTCGCTCAGAGCCCTCGGTCCACTCTCAGAAGTGCTTGGT